GTAAGTTGATTCTAAGTAGGTTTACCAGAGACTGTTGGCAGTAAGTTGATTCTATGTATGTTTACAAGAGACTGTTGGCAGTAAGTTGATTCTAAGTGTGTTTACCAGAGACTGTTGGCAGTAAGTTGATTCTAAGTATGTTTACCAGAGACTGTTGGCAATAAGTTGATTCTAAGTGTGTTTACCAGGAACTGTTGGCAGTAAGTTGATTCTAAGTGTGTTTACCAGAGACTGATGGCAGTAAGTTGATTCTAAGTATGTTTACCAGAGACTGTTGGCAGTAAGTTGATTCTAAGTGTGTTTACAAGAGACTGTTGGCAGTAAGTTGATTCTAAGTGTGTTTACAAGAGACTGTTGGCAGTAAGTTGATTCTATGTATGTTTACAAGAGACTGTTGGCAGTAAGTTGATTCTAAGTGTGTTTACCAGAGACTGTTGGCAGTAAGTTGATTCTAAGTGTGTTTACCAGAGACTGATGGCAGTAAGTTGATTCTAAGTATGTTTACCAGAGACTGTTGGCAATAAGTTGATTCTAAGTGTGTTTACTAGAGACTGTTGGCAGTAAGTTGATTCTAAGTATGTTTACCAGAGACTGTTGGCAGTAAGTTGATTCTAAGTTTTACCATTGTTGGCAGCAAGTTGATTCTAAGTGTGTTTACCAGAGACTGTTGGCAGTAAGTTGATTCTAAGTGTGTTTACCAGAGACTGTTGGCAGTAAGTTGATTCTAAGTGTGTTTACCAGAGACTGTTGGCAGTAAGTTGATTCTAAGTGTGTTTACCAGAGACTGTTGGCAGTAAGTTGATTCTAAGTGTGTTTACCACAGACTGTTGGCAGTAAGTTGATTCTAAGTGTGTTTACCAGAGACTGTTGGCAGTAAGTTGATTCTATGTGTGTTTACTAGAGACTGTTGGCAGTAAGTTGATTCTAAGAATGTTTACCAGAGACTGTTGGCAGTAAGTTGATTCTAAGTAGGTTTACCAGAGACTGTTGGCAGTAAGTTGATTCTAAGTAGGTTTACTACAGACTGTTGGCAGTAAGTTGATTCTAAGTGTGTTTACCAGAGACTGTTGGCAGTAAGTTGATTCTAAGTAGGTTTACTACAGACTGTTGGCAGTAAGTTGATTCTAAGTGTGTTTACCAAAGACTGTTGGCAGTAAGTTGATTCTAAGTGTGTTTACCAGAGACTGTTGGAATGAGCAAATGAATGATTTTGTAGATCTTTTTTGACGATATATATCACAGAATGTACAAAATTTATTATTCAAATACAAAAATGAAACATGTTATCATCGAAAAGGAACAGCAAATAATTATAAAAAAATAATGTATGTGGCCCCACACTGAGGTGTATGATAACTTTTTAGAATGTCATTTACAGAGTTATCTCCCCTTAAGGGAAAATGTTTAACAGTGTAGTATGTAGAGTAATGACACATTGTTTTTCTTCGTAGATTTACAATTTTTTGTCATTTTACCACCTGAAGTTCATTGTAATGAAAGTAAAGTATAATACAATGTAATTTTCTGAGAAAATTGATATTTTATACGTATCCTGACTCATGCTTATTATGCTTGTCTCCTCCTTCTATGCGAATGATAGTGGAACACTTTAAATCCCTTGTAGTTCCCTTTAAAGCGGACGTATAAGTACACTCACCCACGAGTTGCCTCCCTTGCATAGTTTCCCGCCAAAACAGTCACATGACTAACCATGCTTGTCACTCTCTCCGTAATATGCCCGACACGTGGATTTACCGTGAAATCCGCAGTGCCATTAGTGGGGAGGTTGGGAGGGCTTGACATCATGAGTCAGGATAAGTACATAATATCAATTTTATTCAGAAAATTACATATTTTTCTTTATCCTGACTCATGCTTGTTATGCTTCCAGAATCCGACGGATTGGTGGTGGGTCAGGTCAGATTTATTGGCTGTCCTAGATGCGTCCTGCATCTACCCCCATGGGAACTATCATATGGCACTTCTTGATAATCCTGTCCTTCCAACTTCCATCTGCCAATTCAGGGGTACCACATCTTGTCAGACTTCTTTAAGAGAAGTGAATCTACGATTCATGTGGATTTAAGATATATTAGTGTATCCTTGCTAGATATCTATAATAACTCATGTAAGAAATATCTTCTTATCGTAAGAGTTACGACCCTTCTCACGTACAAGTACAAGGTCTAAATCACTCATGTTGGTCTGTTTTAGACGTAAACATGGACTCTCAAACAAGAATCTCCAGAGCGAAGGTTATCAGCAAGTCACGTGATAAGAGGGTGAGATTTTCAATTCAACGCCTCTGTGGAACCGTTAGTTGTTGTGCAACAACAAGTGGCCCAAACTGGTGAATGCCGGAGACGTCTTCGGTGGCAATGTCTCTCAGGTAGTGGTTGGCAAACATCGTATCTGATTTCCAAAAGCAGCCTTCCATTACTGATGCTATCGAGCAATTCCCATGCAGTGTGAGAGAAGACGCCAAAGCTCTAACTTCGTGTGGGTTAGATGCACTCAGAGGTGGCAATCCTGCTGCTTTGTAGGCCCTTAGTATAACGGCTCTCATCCATACTGATATTGTTGTTCGGGAGACTTCTGTGGATGTCTCTGTAGACAACGGTATAAACAGGCGCTTGAACTTTTGTCTCCTTGTTCTTGTCCGGTTAAGGTAAATTTTCAATGCTCTAACCGGACATAGAGATAAATCCTGTACATCCTCCTGTCCGAGGATTGTTGATAAGGCTGGTACATGGAACTGTCTATCTGGTTGACCAGGTAGCTGATTCTTTGCCACAAAATCCCATCTAAGTCCTAAATGTGCTGCCGCACGATGTCCTGTGTCGAACCGGGTTCGTCCAAAATCCAGTGCCTGTATTTCTGATACTCAGGCTGTCAAGGCTAAGGCGAGTAGAAACAATGTTTTCTGCGTAAGTAGTTCGAGTGACGTTTGCTCAAACGGCTCATAGGTATCATTGGTGAGATGTTGTAGTACTACATTGAGATCCCACGCAGGTGCCTTAAATTTCATTTGCTGATCCTCCAGCTGAAAGGAATGTAATAAGGCCAGTAGTTCTGGTACTTTTGTCAATTTGCTGCCTGTCTTCATGGTCAAAACTGAGCTAATAGCCGCCAAGTACGTGGATATGGTCAAACCTTTCAATCTCTTAGTCTGTAGATGACATAAGTAATCCGCCACTTGAGGATGAGATGCTTTCGTTGCTGTGAAACCTTTGGTGCCGAGCGTATTGTTGAAACCTCTGCAATTTATCATCATACAGGTTGCGAGTAGATCTGTGAAGAGCTAGAGTGACCGCTTTCGCTGCTCTTGCAGAATAACCTCTCTTCCTCAAGCAAGTTTTGATACTGTCCATGCGTGAAGTTGGAACACTGCCGGATTCCTGTGTACTTGCTTGGTGTGCGGATGAACCAGTAGGTTCGGCCATTCTGGTAGTTTCAGGTTTGGCTTTCCTAGTTCTTGAATGAGATCTGGAAACCACGCTCTCGCTGGCCAAAAGGACGCGACCAAAATCAGTTGGAGGACTGTAGTCTGCCTGATTTTCTCGAGTACTTGCGGGATTAAAACCGGTGGTGGAAAAGCGTAAGGATGACGCTGCCCTCTTCCTCGTAACAGGAGTCTGCCCCTGTGACGAACCCGGCAAATCACTAGAAACATTAGTTTCATTCGCAGATGACAACACACGGTTACTGACGTTATCTCTCGTTCTATCCACCATGCCTCGTGATAACCTCCACACCTTGTCCTTAGAACGTCTAAACAGGCCAACAAATAGTTATTAAATTGGAACGAAGATAAATTTATACAATATTGACAGCGAAAGCTGGAATAGCATTGATTAGTACAAGAAGGACAAAGGGGGTGGGGATCAGCCACAGACAGTCGGTGCCTGCAAAAAGAACACGATTTCATCAAATGTAAACAACAAATACAAGTGATGAAAAACAACAATATTTACGTAAATTTGGACATAATTCCTATATACACTGAATAATAAAACAGACCAAAAACCGTATACAGCTAAATTTGGGCTAAGGGGTCGAAATATAAAAGGATATAGTCATAGTGCCGTATAGGGACTCCCAAGTATCCACAACCATCCGCCAGGGCGATGGAGGAGAGAGTGACAAACATGGTTAGTCATGTGACTGTTTTGACGGAAAACTATGCAAGGGAAGCAACTCGTGGGTGAGTGTACTTATACGTCCACTTTAAAGGGACCTACAAGGGGTTTTAAGTGTTCCACTTTCATTCACATAGAAGGAGGAGACAAGCATAATAAGCATGAGTCAGGATAAGGAAAAATATACAGTATTTAAGGCTTTTTACGAATGTAAAAATGTGCAATGAATTCAAATATATCAATAAAATACATGTGTCACTCAAGGGTAGTGTTTTATCTAATAAAAAGATGGTAAGGGTAATATTTTGTGAAATTACACAATCTTTCTTCTTTACATTCCAACAGTTTGGGTGAAATACTGAGTATTTGTAGTTAGGAAATGGCATTTGAAAGGATGCAGCAGTTTACCTGAAAAAAATGCTGAGTCACAGCCAGAAGCCGACATTACGCATAATCATCATCATCACAACATTCACAAAAAAAATCATTTCACATTTCAAACCTCAGCTTCCAGCACCTACAAAGAAAAGTGGCACTTAGATCTAAATCTACAAATCTTGGAAGGAAATATCCTTACAATCTTCTGACTAGCAAAAAAACTCAGATTATATACCAAAACACTCAAACATTTTAAGAAGGCAGTAACTATCAGTGTCTCACACTCTAACCTTCAAGGAGCTAACAGACCAGGTTATTACTCCCGAAGATGATAATATGGTATATCAAATACATACACATCATCACTTTAAACTTTTGCTTCCATTCATATTTTTCCCTTGGGACCACCGGATATTGAGGCATAATTACCTACTAGTATCATGAGAGAATCAGCATGTCAGGATGTATTAAAATAGTTTCTACCTGAAACTCCCACTGTAAATACATTCTTCCGTTTGATTGCGTCATTGGCTTTATCTATCACAAACTTGCACAAATTTTCAGACACGGAAGAATCATTCTCGAACACTAACACTGTGGGGGCAGCCATTTTCAGTACTCTCTAAACGCTTCAAGCCCCGACATGGCTATCTGATCGCAAGGAAAGATATGAATATGTAATTTGTAGCTTTAGAAACATAGAAATGGCCTATACCAAGTACTATTAAACCAAGATATAGCTGTTTAATTCAAAATAACCCACTTCGCTTTCTGGTTACTATTCATTTAGGATATTTCATGGCTTCCGGTCTGCAATTGTAACTCAAAATGGCGGACGTGCTTAGTCTTCTTCGACAATACAACATACAGAAAAAGGAGATCATTGAAAAGGATGACCAGATTATCTTTGGAGAATTTGCATGGCCAAAGAATGTCAAAACAAATTATACAGTTTGGGGGTAAGTAGAAGCTAATATTATGTTCAGTTGTAGTTGGTGAAATATGTTTCCTTTTCGCTTAACTTGCATAAACGTGGTTTGAAAATAAACAAACTCCGAAAAACATGTAAAAGTAGAAAATTGTAGCAGATAGTGTTTGTAAATTTCTACCCATGTGCACATGTAATGGCTGCTGTCAGTGTCATGGATATCCTGTACTCATATTCATCATGTTGTAAGGTTGGTCCTATGTTCATGTGCTTTAGAACCTAACAAGTTAAAGAGTCGTTCATCATGTTTATGTTGTGATGTGCAGTAGATCTGGGGAATCTTCAGTCTAGTTTTGCAACTTTAACATACTAGGAGTAAGTCTTGTGGAGATTGTCTGGTCCAGACTCTATTATTTACAGACCGCTGCCATATAGCTGGAATATTGCTGAGTACAGTGTAAAACTATTGTGTGTTACGCTTTCACAGTATATTGCAATACATATTGCAATACCCCAACACATTTTGGCAATACCCAAACCTAGTTAAGAGTGAATGCTTTAACCATGTTAACCGTTAGGGTACCCCACTTGGGGAACAGTGTGAGTTGGATTTCCCTTAACAGACTGGTTATATAACTGAATAACTTTTGTCACTTGAGTGTCTCCAGTAGCAGCATATCCATGATAATCATTCTAATCCATTGAAGTAATATGGTAAAGGCATGAAGAAAAGATTATGGGTTGTTTGTTTAAGTATCAGGTAGTGCTACAAATCAGTGCAGACTAAGTGTAAAGAATTAGTGTCAAGTGTAATCATTGCAGTCTCAAATTCTCACCGTAATCATATCTTTAATTTCAGTACTGGGAAGGATGGCATCACAAAGGAGTATTACACTCTGGACTCCATCCTGTTCCTCCTCAAAAATGTCCACCTGCAGCATCCCTTGTATGTCAGAGAAGCTGTGGTAAGTAGCTTTACTCAGGTGTTCACCCAGGTCCCTGGTCACACATACCTGAACTTAGAAGGGCCACATCTGATATGCAAATTCTGTTGCCTTCACTGAAGCACTTGAAATAAATGCCTCTCAACCTGTGGTTAGTGAAATCTACTTCTGTTGTAAGGAGGCAAACTGGCCAGTTATAGCACACTTAATTTACAGACATACATATTCATTTCAGCAATCACCTTTTCCACTGACATCCCCATCTCTGCTCTAGCAGCCTGTACTCATTTCTATTTTCTGTATTCTTTCATTGACCATGGCAATACTGTTTAGGTATTCACATGAATTGTACAAATGTTGGTGTTCTCGTAACCATGGTAACCTGACCGATTAATTTCTCCAAAAATTTGGAATTGTCATCACATGTCCTTTATGTTTAGCTAGAGCTGCCTAGCTTCAAGAAAGACATATAGCTATGAAGCATTTTCCCTGCACAATTATCACCCGGTTATTCCAGGCTCACAGCGTTCATGTCGTCCGACGTCCAGACAGGAAGGATCTCCTGGCATATCTCAATGGAGAAACTACAGCTTCAGCCAGTATTGACAAAAGTGCTCCTCTAGAAATATCTCAACGACCTACACAAGGTAAGGGAAATGTGTTCATAGATCATATCCTATATCACTGGTTCATTTACTGTTACTGACCCACTTTTCAAGATTATGGTCATAAAATGTTTCTATATAACACAAACACACTCAGTTTTGGGCACCTTGCTTGTTCAGTGATGTATTACATGGTTATAATTGTATGAATGGGACAGGTGCTGTGATAATATGCAATGTCACAATACAATATGTGTCATTGTGGGATGACGATACACCATAACACAAGCAAGCGATTTGTGCACTGATATGATCAGTTTCAATCTCTGATTCCCTGTCAGCTGCAAACACACTGACCTCTGTTTATCACATCTGTACTAGGCACAGATATAGACTGCCTCTGCTAGTGCTAGCTATTGCAAACGTGCGGATCAGGACACCTATTAGCAGCTCAGTGATTAAGTTTTCGCGTGGGGTGACGACCTGTGTATGCTTGGCACTGGTTGCTGTGATATAGCTCAGGCTTTTATCAGGAGTGTTGGTCACTTAGTGTATCTTCAAAATAATTGGGGGCGGTGGGGTAGCCGATTGGTTAAAGCATTGGCTCGTCACGCTGAAGACCCGGGTTCGAATCCCCACATGGGTACAATGTGTGAAGCCCATTTCTGGTGTTCCCCGCCGTGATGTTGCTGGAATATTGCTAAAAGCGGTGTAAAACCAAACTCAGTCAGTCAGTCAGTCAAAATAATTGTGACACTATGTTTGTGTGTTGCAGTCAAGCGAACAGCGGATGATACAGGTGATGACCCCGAAAAACGAAAGAAAGCAAGATTAGAGGTGAAGTGTCTTTCCTTTGTGTGCTCTGTATTTAGATTAGGCTAAAGCAACATTTGTTCACTTGTTTGATTTAGTAACAAAACTTTGGTCTGTTCATTAACACTGCACCAAGCAATTCGACAGCTATGTAATGTAGTGGTGGTTTAGACAATCCAGTGATTGATATCATGAGCATCACTCTTTGAGGATACAATGACATGCATCAACCAAGTCAGTGAGCCTGACCACCCAGGGAGTTTCCTTTTATCACAAGCTTGGGTCGGCAAAGACCAATTCTAACCATTATCTCCTAATGTTGCTGGAGGTCTGATGTCCATTCAGTCAGTAAAATTGCTTCTTTCAGGAAGAACAAGTTCAACAGGCCAAGAAGAACTGGATCACAAAGATTGATGGGCCAAGAGACACATCAGTGCTGCCAACCGCCTTGGGTAGGAAAACTGTCTCATAATACCATCAGCTAGATAAGAGTCATTTTACCCTGTAGGGAATTTTGAGTTGGAGTTGATCTCCTGTTTTGGTTATAATGTAGATCTGTGCAGGAGTATCTATGCAAATATCCGTAAACAATTTGAAACTATAAATTAAGAGGTTTCTTTTAAAACTGGGCATGGTTTTAAACATGTCACAGGTTACTGATGACCCTCTGCTCTAATGAACCACTATTTTCTGCTGTGTTATGTATGTTGGACATTCCAGGAGGCAGTGGGTTTGCCTTCAGTATTGATCAGGGGTCAATTTAAGGAAATGAAACACACTTGCACCCAGTGCAACCTAAGGTAATCACCTTGTTGCACCAAATATAAACAGGTTGCAGCTGCTGCTTAATATAAAATCTTATATAATGCTAGAGTTATGGTAAGAACAGTATTATAACAAAAGAAATTTGTAGTTGTCTTACTTCCTAAACTTTCATGAACAGTAAGTCCTTCAGTCACTGTCCTACAATAATCAGAGTCACTGTTCCAAGTCAGTTCCTCCTCATTCTGTTTTCCAGCTGAAGTCTGTGTTCTGTGAACACAATATTAACATGCACTGTGTGCAAATTGATTTACATATGAGTAGCTATACCACATGATTTTTTTCATATTACAGATAACATTGTCTGATAACTAGCATTCTACTGAATTCAGATCACTTTTCCTTTTGAAAATCGGACCATAAATAAATATTTTAGAGGCAAATAAAGTGTCAAAATTCGGGGTCCAGGTTTGGATCAATTTTGTACATGTAATACTCGAAACTCGCGGACCGCTGTTTTCGCAGAAAATATCTTAATTGTCCCACAACATTGCTGTTTTTTGGTGTTTTTAAACAAAATTTGGTACATAGGGTAATTAGATACCCCTGATTTCATTTTTGGCATCAGAATTCACATAAATCAAATGGATTAAGAGTTATTCCAGAGATGCAAGCAAAAAAATTGAATGAATAGTGAGTGCCAAGTAATATGGACCATGACTCCATGTGAAGTACACTGTCTACAACCCAGGAATTCATACAAAGATCACTCCTAAATATCATAACATAAACAACAAACACACTCATCCTTTTCAAACATTTTTATTCTTGATGTACTCATTAAACATGACCAATATAAACTTGACAGATAGCAATATCATAGTCAAAACATATGAATAATGAATTATTTTAACTGGCATAAATAGAAAATTGTTAAACTTATCCTATCTCACGACTTGCAGCTCTCTCTCTTGCTTCGACTTTTAGTGGAACGACTGTAAACTTTTATCCATAGGCCTCCTTGTCCATTCGCCCGTGCACTCCATGCTGCTCTCCTTAATTAGCTTCCTAGTTCCTAATAAAGCTTGCAGCATGCTCCACTAATAGCCCACGTGACTACCTTGAATGATCATTCTCTTTCTTGTCGCACAACTGTGTGGACGTGCTGTATATTAGGGACATTATTTCATCCTAACATCATGGGGAAAACAGATAATCAGTCAAGTAAAAGGAAAGTTTGTGCCAAATGCAAGACGAATTATTCGTCCCTCGACCTTCACTCGTCTTGCAGTGACTGTATTGGACAATGTAACTGGAACAAACGATGTGGCAAGTGTAATTCACTAAAAGATGAGGATTTTAAGGCCTACCTTCGTGTTTGCTCCCGGAGAATCACCGATAGGGACAGGAAATCAACAGAATTTATCCCACTCCCGCCAAGCGTATCAAGTTACAGCTACAGAAAATTGTACCTACACGCAAGAGAGCGACGTCTGTGGTTCAAGAGGATTTTATGGACGCTTCATCAGATTCTTACTTATCTGAGGACGTTCGGCACCTATTGCGTATGAATCAATCACCTCCTTCCATAGCGTCAGATCACTCGCAGGTGGTTGTGATCGATAATTCATCGTTGCCTGTCCCATCTACACTACCAGGGGACCTTTTCATCATCCAGATCATCGGTACATATCCCCTCGACTGTCTCAGTTTGCTTGGAGCCTGGCCAACTGCGTTCAACCAGCCAAGTGTTCCCCCACAGTTCATGGAACCGGACGGAGCTGGCCGGGGTACGTTCATCATGAATCAACACTTCAGGTTTCGTCACCTAATCGCCGATCCAGATCACCACAACGATCTAGATCACCTTCACGATCCAGATCACCATCACAAACCCGATCTAGATCACTCTGCCGATCAAGATCACTGGATCGATCCAGATCACAGTCACGATCCAGAGCACAACTACGATCCACATCACCTGATCAATCCATGGACGAATGGAATGTTTGCGCCGGAGTCTCTATGATGCCCTTTGCACCGACTCATCACCTATTCATCGATGCATCCCTCATGGGTTGGGGAGCTCACTTCCTCAACCACCAAGTGGCCGGGCTGTGGTCATCCGATGAACGGGTACTTCATATAAACGAGCTGGAATTCAAGGCGGTAATTCAAGCCATCTCACATTGGGCAACAGAGCTTCAATCAACCAGTCTGTTGATCCAATCAGACCATTCGACATTGGTTTGGTTCTAGGCTCGACAGGCTCGGCGAATCTGCTACAATGGGCGATCAGGTTCTTCCATCTCATCGACTCACTCAACATCGTAGCCGGACACATTCTCGGAGTAAAAAATGTGTTCGCCGATGCCTTGTCCTGATCCAACCGACCGTCACCAACAGAGTGGAAGTTACTGCCCCAGATTTTTCAGTCGATGATCTACCCATTATCACGGCTTCAAATAGATCTGTTCGCCACAAGGTTCGTCAACCCAAGAAGCCTGGCAGAGCCAAACCCAGTACCGCTTCCCAACCAGGACGACCTACTTCTTCACCCTCACTCAACTGCGCCACGGGTCACCTCAGACCCTCAATCTACACATTTGGCGCATCTTCAGAGGTCTCTCATAGCTAAGGGCTACTCTCGCCCAGTAGCCACAGCTATCACTTCAGCGCATCGTACTTCGACCCGTTCCTTGTACGACAACAAGTGGAAGAAGTTTGAAGACTATTGCAAGGTTAGGGGAATTGCATCTCTCACTTCCACCTCGGCTCAGGTCGTTGCTGAGTTTCTCCAGCATCTCCGCACTACTAGGAAACTCAAGGGTACTACGCTAGCTACCTACTTAGCCGCCATCAACTTGGTTTTGGCTGTCACCACGGGCACGAAGATTTCCACTGTTGCTGAGTTGCAGAGTCTACTATGCTCCTATAGACTCTCTGACCAGTTCAGGAAGTTCAGACCTCCGGCCTGGGATCTGTCCGTCGTCCTTCGTCATATGATTTCTACAGATTATGAACCTTTAGAAGACAAGAACTTCGAACAAGTGACATTCAAGACATTCTTCCTGGTAGCTTTGGCTACTGCTGCTCGTATATCTGAACTGCATGCTCTTGATGTCAATCGGGTGCGGTTCGAGCGGAAGAAGCATGGCAAGGCTTTCCTGGGTCTCCGCTGGGACTTCATTGCGAAAAACCAACTGCCATGGCAACTGGACCGGATGTTTACCATTCCCCCGTTGTCCACCATTCTTGGCCCCGATGATAATGAAGATTTGACACTCTGCCCTGTTAGGGCTCTACACATTTACCTTGCTGCCTCCAAGGATCGTCTACGGCTACGGAAGCGCCTCTTCATACCCTTGTCGACCGCTTCAAGAACTGAGGTTTCCCGGACCACATTGGCCTTCTGGATGCGTGCCACGATCCTGCGAGCCTACACCTTTGCAGGGCTGCCTCCTCCAGCCGCTTCCAATCCTCATGAGACTTGTGCACTAGCCTCGACGATGGCCCTCCATAGCAACTGCTCCTTGACCGCTATCATGGATGGTTGCTTCTGGTGTTCTGATACAGTCTTCTCTTCACATTACCTGCGAGACCTGTCTGTCACGGATGTCCAGGGACTACAGCAGTTTGGACCTCTTGTACTGGCTCAGCAGCTTACATCGGCCCAACAACGCAGATGAGGGACAGTTCCGCATTCGTGTTACTGCTTCCTTGTATATACTTAATAAAAGTTGAACTGGATCTCAACCTTTTTTTATCATTATATGGGTTTAAGAACTACTTCACTTGGCCTCCATACCAAGGCATCGGAATACGGCCACCTAGCGTGGCCCTACCGACCTGAGGCACAATCAGTATGACGATGCAGAGGTGTTCGACATTCACGCTTACTGACCTCTACTCCACGGAGCAATTACATCAGTGAAGTCCGACACTCCCGAATTCCAGTGGATTTCGTTGTGTTCTGCCTCCAAAGTTGTCGGGCACATCCTTTGACTAAGCTTAGGCAAAGGAGTGAGGGTCAATTTGATGCTGCCCGGAACTGAACATTAAACCTTGGATATGCCAAGTTGTGTTTCTCTTTCACCCGCCTCGGTCGGTGTCTGGGGGGTCTTCTTGAAGCATGGGCTGGCCCGATTCTAGTCGCAAGACTTTAATTACGGGGGTGCCTTGTAAATCGTGGCGAGGCGAGGCCTACTTGCCAAATGCATCCCTTGTCTTGTACAAGGTTTCGGCCGAACACCACATTGCTCGGGAGCACCCATCTCCCTGGGAGTCGTTTGTGCTTAGTAAGCCAAGGGGTTCCGGAGAACCCACTACAAGCATAGGAGTTGCGTGCATGCGTAACAGGCCTCCCTTGTACATCGCTATCTACGGTTGTCATCAGTCCACACAGCTCCAAGACCAGCTGTTCGCACTGTCCAGACAGAAGGGTAATCTGCGGCCCACCATCCAACCATGGGATAAGTGCAAGTCGTGAGATAGGATAAGTTTAAAAATTGGGAAATTTTAAATATAAATTGTATATTTATATACTTATCCTATCTCAAGCGACAGATTCCCGCCCATCCTCCCCGCTATGCAGATTCTCCAAGATTGATATTCCAGTGGCTCCAAGAATGAGAATGATGATTCATGACAACTAGGAAGCTGTCTTATAATGAGGGTAGCATGGAGTGTTTGGGTGGATGGACAAGAGAGGCCAAGTTAAAAAGTTTACATCGTTCCACTCAGTGTCGAATCAAGAGAGAGAAGTGCATACCGTGAGATAGGATAAGTATATAAATATACAATTTATATTTAAAATTTCCAAATTTGTCTCTTCAACATAATTCCTGTGCTTGTGTATTTTCCTCCAAACCATGAACATACACAACCTGCACAACTTTAGGTTTTCCTCCAAACTTAAGCTGGCCTTTGTTAAAGCTGTATTAAACCTGGGGCGGTAGGGTAGCCTGGTGGTTTAAGCATTTGCTTGTCATGCCAAAGGCCCGGGTAAGATTCCCCACATAGGTATAATGTGTGAAGTCCTTTATAAATATCCTATAATAAACATTGCCAAAAGTGATATAAAACCAAACTCACTGTATTAAACAAAACTCACTCACCACCAAATGAATGTTTAACATCATGCCTGTATCAAGTATTGATGTGTCATGTGTGTGTACTGTGTGATGTCCTCCCCAGCACATCCTCTCTCCATGAGGCCATGCCCCTAGAGAAGATTGCTGCCATCAAAGCCAAACGTTTGGCCATCAAGAGAACCAAGATCAAAGGAGACGATGACATACAGGTCGGGGCGCTAGAGCAGAGGAGCTTTGTGGATGCTGAGGTGGACGTGACCCGCGACATCGTCAACAGGGAGAGGCTGTGGAGGACCAGGACCACCATTCTGCAGAGTGCCGCAAGGTGGGCAGTTAGTCAGCATGCATGCATGCATTAATTCATAAAGCATGCGCAGAGGCATATCCAGAATTTTTAAAAGGGGCAGGCAGGAGGCTGGGTAGCACACAATGCTAAAGTCATATAGCGACATGGACAGGTGTGAAGGTAACACGTAAGGTGCCTGACAAAAAGGAGATGGTCTTCCAGTCTGGGTTCGTCGCTGATGCAGTTACTGGTAGTGTGTATCCCATTAAATCATAAGGCATGCACAAAGGCATAACCAGAATTTTAAAATTGGGGCAGGAGGTGGGGTTGCACACAGTGCCTGTCATGAAGCGACATGGTCAGATGAGCAGTTAACTTGTGAGGTGCCTAAAAAAAGGGAGGTGCTCTCCCTGTCTGGGTTTGTTGCTGATGCAGTAGCTGATTTGGTGTCCAGTTAGTCATACATTTCTCAACACAGGTACAATGTGGTCATTATGCATGCAAGTGTCTTGCATGCAGTTTGTGACAATGCATGCATATATAGTTAGTCATGATATATGGGGTTGGCACGCGTGCAGTTCGTCGCCGTGCATAGTTAACCATCTTGTATGCCCACTGTGATATTGCTGGAATGTTGTTAACAGCAGCGTAAAACCATAAATCACTCACTCAATCATCATGTCACAGCTAGTAATAGTGCAAGTAATTCGTTTTGGGGTTGGCAGTGCAGCTGGTGACAATCATGCTATTGTATAATGGTGTATTGGGTTGTTTTGGGGTTGGCATGCATGCATATTGTTAGTTGGTTGTATTGCTTGGCATACATGCAGCTGGTGACAATTCATGCATATTAATTAGTAATGTTGGTTGTGCTTGCAGCTGGGCCTATTGGGTTGGCATGCATGCAGTTGATCCTTATTCAGTTTGATATGCATGCAGTTGCAATGTTTACATTACACAGAGAAGTTAGTAAAAGTGCTTTCATGGTATATTCACGAGGCATGCATGTAAATAGTTTGTCATGACTTAGCTGACTAATACTGTTACCAACCACAAGGGAGCTCTGTAGCTTGAAGGGCGGTGGGGTAGCCTAGTGGTTAAAGCGTTCGCTCGTCACAACGAAGACCCGGGTTCAATTCCCCACATGGGTACAATGTGTGAAGCCCATTTCTGGTGTCCCCGCCGTAATATTTTTGGAATATTCCTAAAAGCTCCATAAAATCTCACTCACTCACTCACTCACTCACTCACTCACTCACTCACTCACTCACTCACTCACTCACTCACTCACTCACTCACTCACTCACTCTCACTCACTCACTCACTCACTCACTCACTCACTCACTCACTCACTCACTCACTCACTCACTCACTCACTCACTCACTCACTCACTCACTGTATTAGCTTGTGAAAATCCGGACACATATCACCTTTGAGTCATATGATTATATGTTCAAGGCAATACATATAGATCAGAAATCCTATTGAGCACTTTTGGTTGATACACTTACCATTGACATATGTTTATGTTTCAGCATTTTGCTAAAAACATCTTCAGCATTCTCCAATCTATCAAGGCTCGGGAGGAAGGGTCCCAGAGGCAGCAGAACAACACAGTCGTGCAGCACACACCAGCCGTGGTAAGTAGCTGTTGTATTATGGCTCTGAGTCTAGGTTAGAGGTGAAATGGGGTTTAACGTTGTACTTAAGAATATTTCACACATATGAATACGTGCATGAGTGTGTATGTGTGGCTGCTTGTACTAGCCCAGACTGAAGCTGGTTTTATAGTGCTAGCCCGCGGAGATACCATGCCGCAGTTAAGCATGAATACCCCGACACAGACACAGTATACTGACTCTGAGCCGACCAGTCCTTGTTTTACCCATTAATGCCAAGCGCAAGGCAGGGAACAACAAGTACCATATTTTAACGTCTTTTGGTATGACTCGGCCGGGGATCGAACCGGCGACCTTCCACACTCAAGGTGGATGCTGTAACCACTACACCATGGAGGTGGTCGTCTGGGTTAGAACATAGAACTGTCCCCTACAAGCAGTGCTGGTTGTCAGGCAACATGCTCCAGCTGTGGTAAGTAGCTGTGGTAGTATGGCCCTGTGTGGTGTCTGGGTTTAAGTGAACGGATTTTGGTGATATCCCATTATATGAGTGATAAAGAGGTGGCCCTCAGATCACTCGTCAACTCTCAGTGATCTCAGGGTCCTCGTTCGGTTCACACACAAGATGTTACAAGATTACGAATTTTTAACTTACCTTACCTCATGGTAATGTGCATATTACCTTTGCTCATCCGATACATAGATTGGAAACGTGATCAATCGATCATATCCTTGTTGAATGCTATCATGAAACCAGTGATGTGTCGATCTCGTCCGGCGAGCAGAAACACGCCCCCTCAATCCCGTCATGTTACAACGTCACTTTATCCTTTACCGCACTGCGAGTTGGACGTGTTTCGAGTGTTTGGGATATTTCTGATTTTTCTTACTTACTGCGGGGGTGGGAATAACCCATTGCCCGACGCCCGAGTCCAGTGTTTTTTTCTGTCGGGCAAACAAATTTGTATATCACACTGTACCGGTGTCCAGTTGATATTCCAATGTTAATTATGTTGTTTATTTAAAAATCAACAAGAAAATGGCCGGTATAGTGGAATAATTATCAGGGGAAGTGATTTTACATGTGCCACTGTACCGGAGTACACTAGCAATTTTAAAGTTATTTCTACCCCTGCTTACTGTATTCTTTGTGTTTTGTTTGGGTAAGGTTTTCCTATTGTATCCTTCAACCGTGATATAACGGAAAAATTCTACTCACAGCTGGCTGTTATTTCTTACTGTCTTCGCGGTGTGTTGTTTACTTTGTTCTCGCCTTTTCCAGCTCTGCTTCGGTGAATTTAGGTACTTCCTTAGTCAGCCTGGGGTTTCTTGTCCTTGCTTGACCATTGTATGTATCTTGTTTCTCTCTTTTTATGTCATAATTGTCGCGTTTTCCCAACCCTGATTGCCCGGACTGTCTGATCAATTTAGGATGTACCTGGACCTCTTGGTTTTAGTTTTGCCGGGACCTACCTTCCATTGTGTTTAAAGCGTCCCTAGCTGCTCAGAAAAAAACGCTTTATGCAACGCAGCCGCCTCATGTCTTCTAACAACGCGTCTGCACCTGATCGCGTTCCCGATCCCCACTTTTTAGATCTCAGGATTCCTCATCTCTTTTGTCAGATGGGCAGTTTGTACCAGATTATGAAGAGGACGACAACCAGGGTCTGACACACTTGGGCATGGAGAGTGTCTACGCCTGGATAGCTGACACTTATCAGTTGCCCGTCTCCAGGGTCGGACATTCCTCGTGCTACTTCCATTTGGGATGAACCAGAGCTCCTTTTGCCTCCACACCCCATGGTTGCTGATGCCATTGCTTCACTTGATGAGGATTTCCAAAAGTTATCTGTCAATCCCTCCATCAAGCCTGCTAAACACCGCCGTCAGGATTACAAGGTGCACACTTTAGACTTTGTGGATTTTGGTGCTACCGAGGATGAAGCTGCCAAATGTCTCTCAGACACCTCTCAGGCTCAATACAAGGTCCCGGATGCCAAATTGATGGCGATTGCCACGGAACTCTGCAGGACTTTGAAGCCCCTTTCCATTCTTGCCTCGGCCACAGAGGCTTTCTGAAGACAATCCTTCCTGTTGAGATCATCTAACTACTATGTTCCGGTGGCAGGCCAGAGTAATTTCCGGCGTGGTAGATCACATCCGTTCAGCACTTGCTACCACCAATGTGACTCGGAGGACTGGGTTGCTTTCTCCATGTACCTGGCAGGAGGAATTTATAAAGAGACTTATGCATGCCCCGTTTTCGGCTCCCACCTTGATCGCGGACAAGATCCTAGATGTCTTCTCTGAACCTCTATCAGTCCAGGAGGATGTCGGTTCATGGAGCCCCCAGAGTGTCCACTCGAAGCCTGTACGATGACAAATGGTCTTTGATTACCCAATGCCATTTAGAAAGTGGTCAAATGTAACGTGTTTTATTTGGGATTACACTTTCTTAGTAAAGTACAAATTCTAGTACTTTTTGAGTTGAGCCCCATCCGGGATTCGAACTCACACCCTCAGAGTCAGGCACCTAATCGCCTAACCCTGGCTGAGTTTGAATCCCGGATGGGGCTCAAATCAAAAAGTACTAGAATTTGTACTTTACTAAGAAAGTGTAATCCCAAATATAACACATGTTACACAAATGGTCTTTGTTTGAGAAGTTTTGTGCTGAGCGCTCAAAGAATCCGGTTAAAGCTTCTCCTCAATTTATTGCGGAATTCCTCCTCTCCCTACGCAACACTCATCATCTGAAGGGTGGTACGTTTTCTACTTATTTGGCCGTCTAATTCAGTGCTGGTTGTCAAGTCTGATAGGAAGGTCTCCAAGATTTCTGAACTTCTGGCCATGCTGAAAGCTTTTAAGTTGGAGGATCAGAAGTGCAAGGTCCCCCCTGCAGCTTGGGACCCCAACGTGGTTTTACAACACCTTCATGACCGTCCTTATGAGCCCTTGTCTGAGGCCTCTTTCAAGGACTTGTCCAGGAAAACAGTCTTTCTCCTGGTGCTTGCTACTGCGGCCAGAGTTAGTGAGCTTCATGCCATAGACGTCACCAGGATTTGGTTTGAACAGAATCGTCACAGCTCCTTCCACTTGTGTCTTCTCTGAGACTTTATTGCCAAGAACCAGTTGCCGGCCAACCGGATCATTTGTTTGTCATCCCTCCTTTGTCTTCTACAGTGACCAGTGACGAGTCGGATGAACTTGCATTGTGTCCCATCAGGGCCCTTAAAGAGTACATCAAGAAGTCGACAGTCAGGAGACACGCGAGGAAACGCCTTTTCATTCCGTTTTCTTCTGCGTCAAAGGGTGAGGTCAATAGGAACACCCTCGCTTTGTGGCTTCGCTCGACCATCCTTGCAGCCTACAACTCTGCTGGTTTGGCTCACCCTACCGCCAACAACCCGCATGAAAGCCAGGCCTTAGTGTCTACCATGGCTCTTCATGGGCCTGATAGTTTTGGCTGGTCCTCGCCGGTGTCCGACCCTCCTGCCTTACTGTCAGATCAACATGCCCATTGCCATGAGGTAACGTAAGTTAAAAAATATATAAGAATCTAAATATTTTAGATATTTAAATACTTACCCTACCTCATGGCGTTTTACGCCCTCTCTACGATGGATCGTCTCCTCCCAGCTTTGACCTCCGCTCGGACGTCAGGATTCGGATAAAGTGACGTGGTCTCGTTGTCATATGACGGGATTGAGGGGACATGCTTCCGCTCGCCGGATGGGATCGACACGTCACTGGTTTCATGATAGCATTCAACAAGGATACTTATCGATCACATTTACAGTCTTTGTATCGGATGAGCAAAGGTAATATGCACATTACCATGAGGTAAGTTAAATATTTAAATATCTAAAATATTTAGATTTTAATAATATTTTGCTGACATATATACAATGTACTATAGACATGTGTCTTTGATTTCTCCTCAGGAGGCAGCTAAGCCTGTCCCCACCAGCGGCTACAGCAGACGACCAGGAGAGATTCAGACCTAAAGATGGTAAGCCTCACATGATTCTTGGCAATGCCTATCTTAGTAACATCTTTTGTCATACTATAAAAATGAATATTCAAATTATCATACCATTTGCCAAAATTGCGATGAAAATGAAATTAAATTGGTCCGGGTATTTAGGCTTGAGATAAGCAAACACAAAAATGTCATTGCATGAGTTTGGTTCCTATTTGATTTGATTCAAGATGTACAGCCAAAATTGTACTCTTGTCATTTCAATTTAAAGTTGACTACACCTTTTCGGTGTGTGTCACTCTTAAAATATCTGAGATGAGATGTCTGACTGATGGTCATTTTTAATTTGCCTTTTTCAGAAACGGAGGGCTTCAAGATTGACACAATGAGAACCTTCCACGGTCTGACCCTGAAGTCTGTAACAGAGGGAGCATCATCACGGAAAACACATACACCTCAACCAACACCGCAACCGCAACCAATGTCTCGACCCATCTCACAGGCACGGCCACCACCTAACCAGAAGAAAGGTACGATGTTAGATAAAAACACTGGCTTTGATAGTTTAATGATATTTCAGGAATATTGCTAGTTCTCAGTGCCCTTAATAATGGATATACAGTCAAATCCCGATGAGTCGAATCGCTGAGGATCAAGTAATAAATTCGACTTATCAATGTATTCGAGACATAGGTATGTCTATGAAGGTAGAAAAAAAGATGATCCAGTCCTAATTCCTCCGCCTAAGCATTTGTTTATCTAATGATTTCCATATCACTAATAGGGGCACCTTATCAGTTCCAGTCTGATTAGCACAGACAGTGATTTCCGTAAAATCACTAATCCGCCTTTTGAATTCACCCGTCAATGGCGGAAAGGTGTGAGCCGCGCTGGTTTGTTAATTGGATCAGCTTGCTACACCAATCAAGTTCTCATTGACTGACTTCGGCTTATGTATACAAGATTGCTGTTGTTTGAATCTAATGGGACCAAATTTTCTTCTCGAGTCATCGTGTGTATTTATGAGACAAATTCGTGTAACCGGAAATCAAATGATGACAACTATAACAGGGAATGGTCGGGACCGACAGATACTTCGAGTTATGCATAATGTTCGAGACACCGGCATTCGACTCATCGGGATTTGACTGTACCTACAAATTTGAGGGTCATACAGAATATCTTCTATAATGATATGCCTGCAACATTGCTAGTGTTAATCAGTTTGATTAGCAGTGATCTACATTCTACTGCTGTGACAATTCATCATCATAGACCCTGTATGCACATGCATTTTTGTTGAAATGTTCGATATATTGATGTTTTGAGGTTGAGCCTGTTAAATGCATATCCTGTGGACACATGGAAGAGTATGCGCAATATTTGTTGTTATCAATCCTTGTTAAATACGTTACGTATTTACCAGGTTCTCGCACACCAATCATCATCATCCCAGCAGCAGCAACCTCACTCATCACAATGCTTAACTCCAAAGATATCCTTCAAGATCTTCGGTGAGTCAGATCAGCTTCAGCTATGGCTATTGGAAGTTTTATGTACCTTGGACCAGGCCCCGATTTCTCGAAACAAACTGAAGTCTGAGTATTGACTTAAGTTAGACTTTTTATTCAAATTTGAGAAACCACAGGAAAATGCATTTCCCAGAATGGACTGAAATCGATATTAAACTCAAACATAGTAAACAATTTGAGTTTGGTGGATAGATTACTTAAGTTGTTTTCCCTTATTTAAATGTAAAAATGCAGTTGAGTCACAAAGTCAGCTGTTTCAACTTGTCAAATTCAATTTGAAATTTGAGTAAAAACTTAAGTTTGTTTCGAGAAATCGGGGCCTAGTTGCTGTTATTTGTAGTACAGGAGAGTGATACATGGTGGCCAGCACTTGCAGGGCCAGAGTAGCATGTAGTTTTGGTATCAGCCATTTTAGCCAACGAAACAGAAACTTTACATGCAAGTGATGACACCTCAATTTGTACAAGATGTTCAAATTTGATTTTCAATATGTTTGCAATTATTGTTATGCAAATACATATATCAATATATTAGTAGCTAAACTGTTTCACAGTGAGTGAAACTGATTGTTCAAGCAGATCCTATTTTCTACAACCTACAACGCTAAAAATACATGTTATGGTCCCAATAACAGCAATCCCGAAAGTTGGATAGTTAGGAATTGTGTTTTCATTTTTATACAATTAATGCTACTAAATTATGCTATTTTGTCAATTAATTTCAAAGGGAAGCATCAGTTGTGAATAAAAGTCTGTGAAGATTTTTACGTAAACCATAGAGATAATCACAAAACCTCTGATTGTACTTTGTTAAACAACATTCCGTGTGTTGCCAGGTTTATGAGCACAGAGCAGAAAAAGTCCCAAGGAGCCAAACGAGACAATGAGGTGCTTATCCAGAGACGGAAGGAAGGTGGACTAACAGTGCCCTACAGGATCATTGACAATCCACTTAAACTTTCCCCAGATGACTGGTAAGATTGCCACCATAGACTCAAACTGATATTGTTCCCTTCAATATGACTTCCAAGGGTATTTGTTTTGAAATCCAAGAGAACTACATGGTTAAACTGCTACGAGCATCAATTTTTCCTTATCCTGACTCGTGCTTATTGCTTATCTTAATTCTCCTTTCGACGGTTAAGTGGAAACTTGAATCCCTTTCAATTCCTTGAAGCGATCATAATATCACTCACCCATGAGTAGCCTCATTTTACCTGCCAAAACGGTCCCACGTGACCTGACCCTAGCTCTCATCACTCTCTCCTTCATCGCCCAAGCAGACTGTATGGGTCTCTTTTGCATCATATATCCTTTGTTGTTTGGCCCTTTAGTCTAAATTTGTGGCCGTGAATTGTATTTACCGTGGCCGTGATACTTTTTAGATTCATCACAATGTATTTTTATTCCCTGCCGCTCAGCAGAATGGGGTACTGTGTATTCAGCGGCGTCCGTACATACGTACTCTGTACGTCCCGATTCTTGTTAACGCGATATCTCATGAACAGTTGCACCCAATGACTTCAAAGTAGGTGACAGCCTACATTGGGGAATTACCCAGACACCATTAGATTTTTGTGACCGTGGCCTTATTTTCAAGGTCACCACGATACTTTAACCACTTTTCAAACTCTTGTTAACGCGATATCTCATGGACTGTTGTACCCAATGTCTTCAAATTTGGTGACAGCCTACATTGGAGGATTACGCAGACACCAGTCGTCTTGGGTGACCTTGACCTTATATTCAAGGTCACCACAACACTTTGACCACTTTTGAAACTTATGTAAACGCGATATCTCATAAAACATTGCACCCAATGTCAGTGGCACTCTCTAAATTCAGAAAATGGCTAATAATCCTGAAAATGGCCCATTGTCAAAGTTCTCTATCCCAATCCCTGTATAAATATTCCATTCTTTAGCGGCGGGTGACATTGCCATATTAGTGGCAAACACTTGTATTATGTAAATTTCTACTAAATTCAGTCGCAGATCCCCGGCGCTGGTAGCTCAAGTCTCGGCCTGAGGTCTATCGATGCCCTGGCCAAGACGCTGTTGAGTGTGAGGGAGCTACCATTCACCTCGACACTCCGAGGTCTAGCCGCGTGTACACCAGGGGAACCCTGCATTGTCAGGCTACTCTCATGTGTCTCGGGACTGGGGTTTCGAACTCGAACCACCGACCCGAGTACATATGTGTGTATAATGTATATATATATATATGTATGTATGTATGTATGTATGTATGTATGTATGTATGTATGTATGTATGTATGTATGTATGTATGTATGTATGTATGTATGTATGTATGTATATATATGGGTGTTTACATAGCGCTGAAGGCAATGTATGACTGTATGCTCGGTGCGCTTGTGGTAAAAGTATCGGGGGAACCCTGATTTATCAGGCAACTCCTACGTGTATCGGGTTCGGGTTCGGACTCGAATCGCCGAGCTTCAGCTCTACCGATACTCTGAACTCCATGAGTAGCACCGACCTGGGCTTCAGTAACGGTAGGGCTCAGATCCCCAGCGCCGGTAGTTTAGGTCTCGGCCTGATGTCTATCGATGCCTTGACCAAGAGGCCATCAAGTGTGCCGGATATACTGGTCACCTCGACACTCCGAGGTCTGTCTGAGTGCTTGGGGTACCCTGATTTATCATGCTACTCCCATGTGCCTCGGAACCGGGGTTCAGGCTTGAGCAGTGGACAGGTTGATTTGGTTCTTTTCACTACTTTGAACTTTACAATGATTAGGTTCATCCCTGAGGCAAGTGCAAGATAAAATCGCGGCTGTGTTGCCTCGGGTGTTGTCCACGACGAGGGCCAGGACCATTGGAGTTCACCTTCCGGGGGGAAGCCTGCTTCCAGCAAGCCATCCGGGTCACGGCCTCAATGTTCTACCGTCAGTCTGCTGTCCTTTCCCCTTAACAGCTCTATGCTGTATGCTCCATTCGGCGCATCTCTCTGCTCTGCAGAGGGAGCTGGTGGAAAGGGGAATGAGCGCTGGTGATTCATCGGCGACTCTGGACGGCATCTGACGGAGGTCCACTCTCATTTGGCTAGGGACTGCTGTGCCAGCCAAATGATGAGTGCATTTTGGGCCTATGATGCCTCGGACTATTTCAAGGAATACGGAAGTCTGTCGGGCTTCTCGTTAATCCCTCAAAATGGACATTTTGGTGCTTATATGTACCCCAAGGAGGACTTTCATCAGAGAATCAGTAATCTCTACAGGTTTGTACGAATTTAGTAGAAAATTAAATAATAAAATACATTGTGATGAATCTAAATAGTATCATGGCCACGGTAAATGCAATTCACGGCCAGAAATTTAGACTAAAGGGCCAAACAACAAAGGATATATGATGCAAAAGGGACCCATACGACCGCCAAACAGTCTGCTAGGGCAATGAAGGAGAGAGTGATGAGAGCTAGGGACCGTTTTGGCAGGAAAAGGAGGCGACTCATGGGTGAGTGATATTACGATTGCTTCAGGGAATTGAAAGGGATTCCAGTTTCCACTTAACTGTTGAAAGGAGAAATGAGATAAGCAATAAGCATGAGTCAGGATAAGTATAAAATATCAATTTTATCATAATTTTTTTTACATTTTTAGCCTCAGAGCATGATGCATTAATTGTGCTATCTGTTGACCAGTACTGCTGCAATGTTTCAGGGGTCATGTATTCAGTGTACCTGTGTTTCAGGGGTCATGTATAAAGTATACCTGTGTTTCAGGGGCCGTGTATACAGTATACCTGTGTTTCAGGGGTCATGTATACAGTATACCTGTGTTTCAGGGGTCGTGTATACAGTATACCTGTGTTTCAGGGGTCATGTATACAGTGTATCTGTGTTTCAAGGGTCATGTACATACAGTGTACCTGTGTTTCAGGGATCGTGTATACAGTGTATCTGTGTTTCAGGGGTCATGTATACAGTATACCTGTGTTTCAGGGATCATGTATACAGTATACCTGTGTTTCAGGGGTCATGTATACAGTATACCTGTGTTTCAGGGATCATGTATACACTATACCTGTGTTTCAGGGTCATGTATACACTATACCTGTGTTTCAGGGGTCATGTATACACTATACCTGTGTTTCAAGGGTCATGTATACAGTATACCTGTGTTTCAGGGGTCATGTATACAGCATACCTGTGTTTCAGGAGTCATGTATACAGTATACCTGTGTTTCAGGGGTCATGTATACAGTATACCTGTGTTTCAGGGGTCATGTATACAGTATACCTGTGTTTCAGGGATCGTGTATACCTGTATTTCAGGGATCTTGTATACTTATGTTTCAGGGACCGCGTGGTAGCTGTGTTTGTGCAGGGTCCAGCCTGGCAGTTCAAGGGATGGCCATGGAATGGCAACCCTGTCGAAATATTCTCAAAAAGTGAGTCTCTTGTTTGTATCTCTTGACCATGGTGGACACTTGTAGTAAGTCTGAAAACCTAAATGCAGTAGAACTTTGTAACATGTTTACTTTTGGGTAGTGATTATGCATACTTTTATCTGATTAAACAATTCATAGTTGTACATGTCATCAGTGTCATATGAGTGAAATATTCTCCAGCACGGCGTTAAACCCAATTTCACCTCCCCTCATTGTACAAGGTGACTGAGTGAATCTGGTGGTCCTACATAGTGATCCAGGACCGGTGGGGTAGCCTAGTGGTTGAAGCATCGTCTCATCATGCTGATGACCTCGGTGTGATTTCCCACATGGGTACAATGTGTGAAACCCATTTCTGGTGTCCCCCGCCATGATATTGTGATATTGCTGGAATATTGCTAAAAGCGGCATAAAACCACTCACTGATCCAGTTGATTGTGTGTGATAATTAGGGGTGAAACGGTAAGCTCTTACCATGGTACGGTTTGTATTGTGGTACAAGGCCTTCGGTTCGGTATATAAGATATGATCATAACTGCAGAAAATCGACAACAAAAGCCAAACCACAGGGGCTTGTATTGCTGAAAATAATACATGAGTGAACGAGTGTTGGATAAAATTACATATCATTTTCAGCATTACAAGCCCCTGTGAGCCAAAGCTTACATTGTTTGATAACATGGAAACAAATAACCATAATCTTTGTTATTTTCAATTAACAAAACTGTCATTTTACGATTGGATAGAAATGACAGTACAAAAACCAAAAAATAACAATTTTTTTATTGCATTTCTATTATACCGAACCGAAGGCAAAATATGGCGGTTCTACTAATACCGCTGTATACCGTTTCACCTCTAGTGATAATAACATATCCCTTCAACATTATCCCTGATAACATACAGGCCATCTAGTTGTTATCTAGCTGGCGGTGGGGTAGCCTAATGGGCACAATGTGTGAAGCCCATTTCTGGTGTCCCCTGTCGTGATATTGCTGGAATATTGCTAAAAGCGTTGCATTCCTAAAAGAGACATAAAACCCAACTCACTCACTCACTCTAGCTGGAATATTGAGTATCTCTGAGTAACAAAGATAAAACTAAACATGACAAAACATACCCCATGTTAGCTACTGCATCTGTTTTCAGTCAAGGCCTATCATCTGAAGTGGTCTGAGCTGCCCTTGGACAACAATGTAGCGAAGTGGAATGTGCACGTTATTAATCTGGACCGAAACAAGCGGCATCTTGACCGTGCTAACTTGCAGCAATTTTGGGAGCGTCTTGACAAGTAAGTATATCCTATACATCAGAGGTGATATGAAGGATCAGGTGGCTTTATTGGCAGCATGTCAGTGTTCCCCGATGTGTTGATCTTGTTTACAGTGTCAATAACTGGTGGCTGGTACAGTCTTAAGTATTTCCAGGCTTTTATGTCATGGCTGGAATATTGAGTTCAGCATTAAATGATGAACAAAACACTGCCTAGTATTTGCCATTTACAATTTATTGCGGGGATGAGGTTTGTTTTGAGCACTTGATTATATCCATTTTTACACTGAACCATGCAACCATTTATCATTTCAGATACCTGATCAAGAACAAAGCCCACTTGCGATTCTAATCTCTAGGATCTCTAGCCTCATCATGACTTGCATGATGGGCCAGCATTGTCTGTGGAGGAATATATTCACCTGCTGTGAACGCAACAAATCCTGCAACATGTTGTCACCCTCCAGCTTCAACAGGAGGGGGCACAGTCAGCCCTGTCATCAATGGCATTGCCATTTGCTATGCAGAGTGGTCTCCCTTAGTCATATCAGGACCCGATCATCATGGATTCAAGTCCTCTTTCATCAAAGACCTTCATCTGTTTGGACTTCCCTGACCAGAAGCTGACACAGAAGGACAAATGTCAGAGAAGGTTCACAGTGGAGGCATTCAGTCTTATACCATCAGTATTGTCCCACAGCACCACAGCCATTACATTTCAGTGTTCAAGATTAGGAATGATAGCAAAGGTCTTTTGCAGTGGCTGTAATGTTGAAGGTGAATATTGATTCAGGTGTTGCAAGAGCTAGCTTCATTGATTCTAGGATCACCTTTAATTTTAAATGCTGCCTTTCTGTTTCTGTTTTGATTAAAGTCATAGCCTCTTGTTTCTGCAACCAACTGGTGGTAGTAAGGGGGGAGAATCTAGGGAGGATGTGCTCTAGGTACAAGCACCATAACCTGGATGACAGCCCATACTAGAGTCTCTAATAATAGCTTATCATTGTCGATAAGCTGTGGGTGAAACTAATTTTTGTGTACAGGAACCCTGTTGATTATCTGTGGAACATTTTTAGTCCAGGGCCTAGATTTTCGAAGCTCTCTTAGCGCTAAGATAGTCATAAGTTAATGTTAATGTATGGCAGTTACGACTATCTTAGCGCTAAGAGGGCTTCGAAAATCTAGGTCCTGGTTTCTAATTTTGGCTGGAGTGTCTCTGGGACCTTCATAACAGTGAGCCTGTCAGTGAAACACTCCAGGGGTAGAGGTATAGTTGTGGTGATATTCTGACATTTAAACAGACAGTAAATTCAATGCTTACCATATGGCAATGGTGCCATTTCCGTCATCATCTCTACCACAAAGACACATTGTACAGCATTCCTAATTATCCGTTGTATTATATTTCCATTGAATTACAATAAATATGTTGTTGAACCCATTCTTTTATTTAGGCCCATTTTGAGATGAATGACTTGCGGAAAGGTCTTCAGTCAAATTACACTGAGAGTGAGATTCTTGTTTAAGTTATTTTAGGTTTGAAAATGATGACATTACGTCCATATTGTGGATTAGTAAAGTGTGATTTGTTTCAGATCCGACCCGTGAAGGTCTGGGTTAGAATATTGATCTTCCGTAACCCATGCTTGTCATAAGAGGCGACTATCGGGATCGGGTGGTCAGGCTCGCTGACTTGGTTGACACATGTCATCAGTTCCCCATGCACAGATTGATGCTCATGCTGTTGATCCCTGGATTGTCTTGTTCAGACTCGAGTATTTACAGACCGTCGCCATATAGCTGGAATATTGCTGAGTGTGGCGTAAAACTAAACTCACTCACTCACTCACTGTTTCAGATCCTTTGGTATGAGAACTTGGGAAATATCTTCCAAAGAAGTCATCTTTAGAATTGTTTTTTTTATCACAAATACAACAAAAATAGGGTTAATTATTCTTTATGCTTCACTAGATGCCAATGATAAAAGAAACTTATTGACTGTGTTGTCACCATGGAGATTATCAGTACTCACTGTGGACGGAATAGCTGTGTGACTGCTACAGGAGTTGTCTTAATGACCTCCAGCAACTGGCCTGATATGGCCTGTTGTTACCATGGAGATGGTCAGTGCTCACTGTGGACTGAATAGCTCTATGTCCTCTGTGGGAATACTAATCTGAATGACATCCAGGAACCGACCTGGGCCCCCTTCCTCAATGCAATCGTAGCGCTACGACATTCGTAAGTCTATGTTAAAGTATGGGAGTTACAATCAACTTAGCACTACGATCGCTTTGATGAACGGGGCCCTGATATGGCTGTTGTCATCATGGAGATGACCAGTGTTCATTGTGGACTGAATAATTTTGTTGTTGCTGAGGGAGTTCTTGTCTTGATGACCTCCAATAACCAGGCTAATATGGTCCTGTTGGCACTATGAAGATGATCACTGTGGATGGTTTGGCCCACAAGGTTTGCTATGAAAAGTAATTGCTTTTTATCATATATTTTTTCTTTGACAGCCGAAGACAATGCTTGTGTTCACTGTTTGTCATTGTTTATAATGTAAATAGTACATTTTTGTAAAGATTTGCAAGTGAGTCGTTAAGTTACCCTGTGTACAAAGTGTCGTGTTCATCATTCTTCATTGAAAGCTTCTGTATGATTGATGGTTGTGTGGTCCTCCATGTTGTCCCTCCACAGATGGTTGGGTTTATCACAAAACAAAAACTATATCTCAAAGTAATAAGGCTATTTTGTCAAGGAAGCAAGATATGTACAGTTGTAGGAGGTACTGCCATTCTTTTGTCCCTTGTGCCAGAAACCTGTCACCATGATCAAAACCAAAATTTGCATGGATTATGTTTCTAGATTTGTCATCACAATGCCTTACCGAATTGAAAATCGTTTTAAGACCTACATTGCTTCAGACTCTCACTGGTCAAACTGAAAAAACTTAGCAAAGTAGTCAAAAAATAATTTACTCACAGGCAATTTCTCTAAATATATCCTCATCACGTTATGGCTGAAATATTGTCCTCACTCACTCTAAATCCTTCAGAAACTGGCAGATGGGGAACCACATTCCCCTTAACTGAGATGCATTGGAATTCACCATATTGCTACATAATACTTGTGTATATATGTACATAGTACAGAGTTGAGTATTTCAGCACAATCATGTGAAGATGTTTTGTACAACTATAGGAATAAGGTCTAAATGAACCAGTGCTCTGTTTGCTGTTCCACGTTTGATAGAACATCTGCCGTTTTGCAGTGATACATTGATATCAAACACTGTACAGAACAAAAAAAACCATGCAATAAATATGCATTTGTAACTGGAATTTGTTTTCTTTGATTAAAGTGTCCATTGGCAATCCACAGTATAAGGACATGGTTGTAAAGGCAGTGTGTCAGATTGTTGCCATGGTTGTAAAGGCACTGTGCAAATGGTATTACCATTGTTCTGAAACACATCAGGTTAGAACGGGTCTTCACAATGATAACATGTCTCAAAGTGCCTTCATAGCAATGAAAACATTCCACACCGTCTTTACAATGGGAACAACCATCACCGACTGTCTTTACATCAATGGGAACAACCATCACTGACTGTCTTTACAACAATGGGAACAACCATCACTGACTGTCTTTACAACAATGGGAACAACCATCACTGACTGTCTTTACAACAATGGGAATAACCATCACTGTCTTTACATCAATGGGAACAACCGTCACTGACTGTCTTTACATCAATGGGAACAACCATCACTGACTGTCTTTACAACAATGGGAACAACCATCACTGACTGTCTTTACAACAATGGGAACAACCATCACTGTCTTTACATCAATGGGAACAACCGTCACTGACTGTCTTTACAACAATGGGAACAACCATCATTGACTGTCTTTACAACAGTGGGAACAACCATCACTGACTGTCTTTACATCAATGGGAACAACCATCACTGTCTTTACATCAATAGGAACAACCATCACTGACTGTCTTTACATCAATAGGAACAACCATTACTGACTATCTTTACAACAATGGGAACAACCATCACTGACTGTCTTTACAACAATGGGAACAACCATCACTGTCTTTACATCAATGGGAACAACCGTCACTGACTGTCTTTACAACAATGGGAACAACCATCACTGACTGTCTTTACAACAGTGGGAACAACCATCACTGACTGTCTTTACATCAATAGGAACAACCATCACTGTCTTTACATCAATAGGAACAACCCATCACTGACTGTCTTTACATCAATAGGAACAACCATTACTGACTGTCTTTACAACAATGGGAACAACCGTCACTGACTTTACAACAATGGGGGCGGTGGGGTAGCCTAATGGTTAAAGCGTTCCGCTCGTCACGCTGAAGGCCCGGGTTCGATTCCCTACATGGGTACAATGAGTGAAGCCCATTTCTTGCTGGAATATTGCTGAAAGCGGCGTAAAACTAAACTCACTCACTCACTCACTTTACAACAATGGGAACAACCATCACTGTCTTTCTTAACAACAATAGGAACAACCTTCACTGACTGTCTTTACAACAATGGGAACAACCATCACTGACTGTCTTTGCATCAATTGTTGCAAAGGCTCACTGACTGTCTTCACATCGATAGTTGTGATCCATCGTTGTGCAGGTACGTGGTGACAAGGTTGCTGTTGTAAACCAATGCTGATAACCCATGAGAATGTTAGGGGAATGACTAGCTGTTTGTGGACTTCATGCAGTGTAGACCCGTGAAGGTCCCGGGTTAGAACATTGATCTTCAGTAACCCATGCTTGTCGTAAGATGCGACTAACGGGATCAGGTGGTCAGGCTCGCTGACATGGTTGACACTTGTCATCGGTTCCCAATTGTGCAGATCGATGTTTATTCTTTTGATCACTGGATTGTATGGTCCAGACTCGATTATTTACAGATTGCCGCTATATAGCTGGAATATTGCTGAGTGCGGCATAAAACTAAACTCACTCACTCACTCACTTTGTTAGTGTGAGCCAAAAACCCAGGCCGATATCAGGGCTGGTAACTTCAGAATGTTACCAGCCCAAAATGGATTTAACCAGACCAGACACCAACATATGGTGAATTTACTCCGATGTATGAAACATCTACAAATTTTACCAGACAATCGGGCTGGCTACCTGTAAATCTAGCCCGTCTCGGGCGGTCGGACGGGGCCTTGTTTCATACACTGTCTTTAGGCTGTCATTGGTTCCACATTAACCATGAAAATCAGTGTAACTATCAGCAGTATCATTCATGATCTGAAAGGAATAGGTCTTCCTGCTGGCAACAGTTGACCTAAGGGTGGTCACTATGCTCTGGACCGCCTCCGTGGTGTAGTGGTTAGAGCATCCGCCCGGAGAGCAGAAGGTCGCGGGTTCGATCCCCAACCGTGTCATACCAAAAGACGTTAAAATATGGTACTTGTTGGTCCCTGCCTGGCGCTTGGCATTAATGGGTACAACAACGACTGGTCGGCTCGGAGTCAGTATAATGTGTCTGAGTGGGGTATTCATGCTTCACTGCGGCATGGCATCTCAGTGAGCTAGCACTATAACACCAGCTTCAGTCTGGGCTAGTACAAGCAGCCGCACATACACATACACACGCATGTACGTTCATATGAGCGAAATATTCTCCAGCACAACGTTAAACCCAATTTCACCTCACCTCACCTCACTATGCTCTGGACAGCTTGGAAGTCGTCAACGATATAAACCATTGATATGTCTGGTTCACACTCTATTATTTACTACTTTCTGTTACATGGCTGCTTTTTCACTCATCCATAAAGACAACATAATGTGAACACATTAAAGTTCATTTGATTTATTTCTGGATTGTAATTTCCTACCTCATGTCACAATTTAACATCACCCATACAGGTTATATACAGACATTTGTATAACAAAATAGTCACACAAAATAACACACATCTGATATGTTCATCTTTGAATAAATACTCTGAAACTTTGGTTTTGATCACAAAACCTGGGCCCCGTTCCACAAAGCGATCGTAGCGCTAAGATGATCGTAACTCCCACACTTTAACATAGACTTACGAATGTCGTAGCGCTACGATCGCTTTGAGGAATGGGGCCCAGGGTGCCATTTTACAAAATATCCTTAGCACTATGATGGTCCTAAGTTTATGTTACGATCAGCTTAGCGCTAAGATCACTTTGCACAATGGCATCAATGACATTAACAGTTCCCATCTGACCTCATTCTTCTGTAACTGACATGAATGTGAGATCACATGACAACTACTGTTGATGTCAAAATGATAAAAATATTTTTTCATTTTGATTAAGTTTTCATGTTTTTTATATGTTTTATAGCCTGAAAATGTTATTTGGAATCAATGATATTGGTATCCTCCCATTTGTCAGACAATCCATTTGTCAGACAGGTTAAAACAACAAACTATCTGGTTGAGTGCACAGCTAATCCCCCAACCTGTTACCTCTTAATGAAATAGGAATGGCCCATAAAACAAATAACAGAAATCAGAAATGTAAGAAATCAGGAAAGACTTTTTAATAATAATGATAAAAACAATTTTAAATATTGATCCCCTGCCTGTTACCTCTTAATGAAATAGGAATGGCCCATAAAACAAATAACAGAAATCAGAAATGTAAGAAACCAGGGAAGACTATTTACTACTAATAATAATAACAATCAAAATAATGATCACATCCAGTACAAGGAAGCAAATCAGTATGAAATCAGCCAGAACAGATCATATTAGAGTAGAGTTCAATATTGTCAGCCCAGTTTCAATAGGTGTCCAACAGCCTCCTGGAACGGAACAGATGTCTTCTGGCCACTTGTCAGCTTCTCTTACAACCGGAGCAGTCTCCCCTCAGACTCTATGTACACCTTCCTGGGTGGGGGAGCGGCACCAAAGTCAATCTGTGTTAGCTTAGCGCCTTCCGATTTCTCTATGCCTTTGATCAGGTCCACAAATCGGTACAGGTTTGGGTGCTGATGTGGGAGACTTCTGTTCACACGAGCATGAAATCCCTCCAAATTGTTGTTTGTCCTCGGTCCAACTGTGTGGTGATGATTCCATAGGGGTAGAGGAAAACGGGCGTCATCGTCAACCCATGTCGTCACCATGTAGTCATTGAAGTCTTGAACCATGATATTAGCTAAAGGTTTCAAATGTGAACTCTCCCACTAGTGACACAGATATGACATCACTTTCAGAGGTCATGAAGTCACCTGAAATTGACACAGAGTCACATTCTTCCATGCCAACTGGCCAATAGAATGTGGGCAAAACCCACTGATGTTAACTAATTACTTTGATTAATCATGTCAAACTTTGTACACATATACCCAAGGAAATTGTTTTTCTGACTTTTGATTGCAGGAATGAATTATGAAGAGTTTTGAACACAGTCCAGGATTCATCTGGGACTTGAATCCCATATTATGCTACTTCTCAACTAATCACAATGCCTCTAACACTCATTTCACTTTCACAGTAGTACAACCCGTGAAGGTCCAGGTTTGAATTGATCTTTAGTAATCCATGCTTGTCGTAAGAGGTGACTAACGGGATCGGGTGGTCAGGCTCGCTGACTGGGTTGACACGTCATGGTGTTGATCCCTGGATTGCCCGGTCCAGACTCGATTATTTATAGACCGCTGCCATATAGCTGGAATATTGCTGAGTGCGGCGTAAAACTTAAACTCACTCACTCAACAGAAAATATCAATGCCACGGTTGATGTTAGCGATAGCGATACAGCAGGAGCACGTCTATCTGTAGTACAACAGCGTCCCAACAGTGTTCTTCACTGCTGCAGTGGCAGACATGTCCTACATCCTCAGCCCAAACAAACACAGTACTCCAGTGTAAGTAATCCTACTGTTGAAACACAAGGGGGAAGATTTCCGCCCATAACCCCAGTTCTTTCTTTTCACTCTATGCCTAAGATTTATAGTAAGAATAGATGTTTTTTATAGAAAGCCTAACCTAACATAATGCTAAATCTAAACTCTAAACCTTAATCCCTTGAAATAATCGTAATAAATAGAATACATTTCAAGCGGGGGTTACGGGCAGAGCTCTTGCCGCACCAGGGCCTAGATTTTCAAAGCGCTCTTAGCACTACGATTGTCGTAAGTTAATGTTAATGTATGACGCTTACGACTTATCTTATCGCTAAGAGAGCTTTGAAAATCTAGGCCCAGGAACTCTCTCTAACACATATAGACAGAATTGGCTACACTCAAACCAAACCAAGATCTTGGTCCTGATCTCTGAAGGAAGGTGTTACTAGGAACTGTCGAACAGTGTATTCTGAATTAAGAAAGATCACACAGGAAGAGCATTGGTAAGGAAACTGAGACTGGGTTAGAATTTAGAATTAGGTGCAGGGCTATTTTGTGCAGGATCAAACACCACTCTTGGGTAGCAGTTGAAAATGTAAAACCAGGAGAGAAGGAAAGGAAACAATGGCCGTAAATGTTACTAATTTGTTATCAGGGGACACGTGAGCGGAAGCACAGCGATTACAGGGACAGGGTTAGCAATGATGTAAATGAGATCACACATTAACGGAAGCATAGCAATTACTGCTGACCAAGGGACACTTCTAGCAATAACATAAAATCTGAACACACATTAACGGAAGCTCAGCAATTATCGCAGACCGATGGACAGGGTTTGCGATGATGTGAATCAGATCACACACAAACCAAAGCTCAGGGAGAGGAGCATATTGCTTGCATAAACTCCTCGTAAGGCAGATGATTGTGTGCGGGGTTGATCAGCAAGAAGGAACAGCACTAAGTCCGCAAGATGTAGAAAGTGAGTGGGATGGGGGTGGTGATGTTGAATCTTACAGCAACGACATCTCTGCTAACGATAAATCTTATCAAACAACATCTGTGAGAATGATGCAGATCCCAGGATGTTTGATGTCGAGGTCATCTCAGTAAATAGCCTGATGAACATATTACAAAGTTCACCTGATACCTCATATGAAGGATCTGTCAAATCTTCCCTCAAACAGGTATCATATCATAGGAACAATCTAATTTTAATGAGATCAGAAACACCTATCCAAACACTATTAAACATGGCCACTGTTTGGACGGAGCTTCAGCACGGGGCTCAGTCAGTATAGAAACAGGCACACAACACAACCTTGTCAGACCTATAACACGTCAGATATTTCAAACACTGTTGTTTTGTTTAACCAAACATAAAACAATTAGGCCACGCCCACTAGTGGCCTTCTGCTTCCTTATTGGCTGAAAAGACCTGGCTTTTGTTGTGTAATTTCCCTGAACGATGTCACTGATTAAGTATCGATTAGACATTCTTGTATTTATAGGATTAAACAAGCAGTCTTTGAGGTGATCATATACGAATGTATATGTATCTGTCAGATGTGACTTCAATATACATCTGCACTTCTGGAGGTATCGACGTAAAAAAAAATTGCATGCACGTTTTGCAAAAATCCTTTACAGGTTAACTTGTGTACTGTTGTTTTTACCTGCATTCGTCCAGAAAAATGTAAAACAAGTCAAACATAACCAGGAATTTGTCCTAATTTCCGTGATCTGTTGCCACCAGTACAAAGGGAGGTAACTAGGAACATACATATGTACAGAATTGCTGCAGAGGAAACTATCAAATGTTAAAACAGTTTGTACTAAAATAGTACATATACCCTATCTGTTGACAGAAAGCCATTTTAAGTCAAAATATATCAACCTGAGTTACTGAAACATCTACAAAAGCTGCTGCCATGAGCTGTCAATCATGTCCAGTAGACTGTTTTCTCACTCAGCTCATTATATAAAAATATGATGATGATGACATTTATTCACCTTCATTCAAGTTCAGACATTGTCTCAAGTGAAAATATAATCTGCAAAAGCCTCCAGAAGCATTTTTTATAAAATATGTATCTAAGTACCGGTAACAAAACAAACAAAAATTCTGTGACACCGTGCTCCAGCAGCCGATTATGGACTGTGAGCGTGAGATTTGAGGAAATGTGTCTGTTCCGCCTCACTGTTTGGATTAATGTTGTGCCGTGTCGTCCCTCGGTGCCGGTTACTTCAGCCAGTCAAGAAGTTGCGGCACATAGTACGTGATGATGATGTCGGCCCCTGCAGATGAAATCTCCGTTTTATCTCATACAGTTGAATCACAGTCAGCTAACTGTGCAGGGAATTGGATGCTCAGTGGTTAGCATGGGTCATGTTTTCAAGCCTATCAGTCACTCGGGTATAATTCTTCTGGGGACATGAATGCCAATGATGTAACTCATTTTATTTGATTTCCAAGCATTGACTGATAATGACACAAGAATCACCAGCTATATGGCACATGGAATCTAATGTTTACCGATGTGGACAATTTTTTAGCAAACCTGAGGACTCATTCACATTTTGTACAAACATAAGATGCAGCATAACTGTTGGCAATCCCAAACCCTGGGCAAACCAACACCCTGGGCAATCCCAAACCCTGGGCAAACCAACACCCTGGGCAATCCCAAACCCTGGGCAAACCAACACCCTGGGCAATCCCAAACCCTGGGCAAACCAACACCCTGGGCAATCCCAAACCCTGGGCAAACCAACACCCTGGGCAATCCCAAACCCTGGGCAAACCAACACCCTGGGCAATCCCACACCCTGGGCAATCCCAAACCCTGGGCAAACCAACACTCTGGGCAATCCCAAACCCTGGGCAATCCAACACTCTGGGCAATCCCAAACCATGGGCAAACCAACACCCTGGGCAATCCAACACCCTCATGAAAATATTACGTACTTGGGTGGTACTTATCGGGGTTTTTTCATTAATACAACTCAGGGGCATTAAATACACTTAAAATGGGGAGTATTAAGTTAAAGTATTTCTTTATTGGACTCATTAACTTTCAATTAAAAGTTTTCTCAAGACTTTCTTTTCAAAAATACAAATATACAAGTCTTATTTCCAGTTGGGATTTTGTATACTGGAAAAATGGACAAGCATTTAGGTCATCCACAAAATAAATTAACAAACTTCGGAAGAGAGTTCTTGTTCTCCTGTTTACAATTTTTTTTAAACAATCTGTAGCCAAATGACCAATTCCGGAAGTATTGTATACAAATACCTGCTCGTCTCATGCTCTGGAGAGATTCCAGGACGATGGCCTTCAGATCAAACGCTCCAGCAGCTGCCCCGTGATATAACATTGCGTACTCCCCAGACACGTGGTAGATAGCCAGTGGATGTGTGGGGTACTGAAACAAACAGCCATCTTCTGATACACGGCAGATGGTGTGATGCTTTACATCAAGTGTGTGTGAAATATTTCTGTTTTCCATGTTGCCAATCTGACATGAGGTCAACCAGTGCATCTTAACTCATGTTATTGAGCTTTCTGAAAGTATTATGTAGTCAGCCTTGTATTGTGTTCCTTGATTGGTGATAAGGTAATGTTAGCCTCTGTAATACTTGGCAGGGTTATTGCAAAACATGAATTTTATATCATCATGGAAATGAATGTTGAGTGAAAACAGGGAATGACATGTGAAAATATTGGAGTGTGCCATCGAATCTTTAATACATCTGTGAATCCTGGCAAGGATACAGTAGTGAATCAGTATTTCAGTGAATCATGGCGCAAGGATACAGTAGTGAATCGGTATTTCAGTGAATCCTCATGCAAGGATACAGTAGTGAATCGGTATCTTAGTGAATCCTGATGCGAGGATACAGTAGTGAATCGGTATTTCAGTGAATCCTAACGCAAGGATACAGTAGTGAATCGGTATTTTAGTGAATCCTGATGCAAGGATACAGTAGTGAATCGGTATTTTAGTGAATCATGATGCAAGGATACAGTAGTGAATCGGTATCTTAGTGAATCCTGATGCGAGGATACAGTAGTGAATCGGTATCTTAGTGAATCCTGATGCGAGGATACAGTAGTGAATCGGTATTTCAGTGAATCCTAACGCAAGGATACAGTAGTGAATCGGTATACAGTGAATCCTGAATACAGGTATCGGTATTTCAGTGAATCATGACCTTAAGGATACAGTAGTGAATCGGTATTTCAGTGAATCATGGCCTTAAAGGATACAGTAGTGAATCGGTATTTCAGTGAATCATGATACAGTAGTGAATCGGTATTTCAGTGAATCATGACGCAAGGATACAGTAGTGAATCGGTATTTCAGTGAATCATGACGCAAGGATACAGTAGTGAATCGGTATTTCAGTGAATCATGGCGCAAGGATACAGTAGTGAATCGGTATTTCAGTGAATCCTCATGCAAGGATACAGTAGTGAATCGGTATCTTAGTGAATCCTGATGCGAGGATACAGTAGTGAATCGGTATTTCAGTGAATCCTAACGCAAGGATACAGTAGTGAATCGGTATTTTAGTGAATCCTGATGCAAGGATACAGTAGTGAATCGGTATTTTAGTGAATCATGATGCAAGGATACAGTAGTGAATCGGTATTTCAGTGAATCATGACGCAAGGATACAGTAGTGAATCGGTATCTTAGTGAATCCTGATGCGAGGATACAGTAGTGAATCGGTATCTTAGTGAATCCTGACGCAAGGATACAGTAGTGAATCGGTATTTCAGTGAATCATGATGCAAGGATACAGTAGTGAATCGGTATTTCAGTGAATCATGACGCAAGGATACAGTAGTGAATCGGTATTTCAGTGAATCATGACAGCCTTAGTTCATTCAGTGAGGACAAATTTTGTCCTTCAACATACATATGGAATACAATAAGAAGAAAGCCAGCTGTATAACTCTGCATCATTAAATGAACCTTGCACCACAACATAAGTTTCACTTGTCTGCAAAACTGATTTTCAACTGAGGTGCCATCTGCCTAACACCTGAAATAAATCAGTCTTGGACAAGAGGACTTGTGATACCTGTATGTCCCAACTCTGATATGTCTCAATTTGTGTCCATACCTTCTGTTTGGTCATCCTGACGACATCCAGGTAAGGTATCCCTGGCTTGACCATCAACATGTCTGCACCCTCTGCCACATCTCGATCCTGAAACAATGGGGACATCATTATCTGCATCCTGTTTGAGGGCCAGAAGGGGGCTTCCTTCCAGATGAGTAAGTGAGTTTGATTTTATTACTCATTTAGTAATATCATGGCAGGGGACACCAGAAATGGGCTCCACACATTATACCCATGTGGGGAATCAAACCCGGGTCTTTGTTGTGATGAGCGAACACACTAGGCTACCCAACTGCCCCTCCTCCCATGCGATCAAGAGATCAGTGAAGTTATAAAAATTCAAATCCCCCAAGCCATCTGTGACCTAGAAAATAAGACCAATATTACCACAATTGAATGATGGTTAGCAGAGCCCTCAAACAGACCTTTTCACCACTTTTCATCACTATGATGTGAACATTTAAACCTGCATATATTCCACTAACAACAGACAAACAAAGCAAAAATCTTTTGGTCACAATATTCAAGATAAAGGTCAACACATTCACCACATTGACTTTCTTAACATGTGTTCAAGAAATACTTTCATAAACATTGAAGAAAATCAACAGAGTTTTTCATTATAAAATCAGGCTGACAAATTAGTATTGTGACTTCTATACCTCAAAAGCAAAAATAAAAAACACAGTTGTAGTGGAGATAGTCAAGGCACACATTAATTTCAGGATATATTACACCAGATCATTTCTGACATCCAAAAGGGCAAACTGCCTAGCTGGATTGACTCAAAACTAACTAGGGGTGTCACGATTCACTCTTACTTCAATTCGATGCGATTATCGATTCAATTCGTTCGATTCGATTCATTTCAATTTGATTCACCAAAGCTGAGGACAAAGTCAAATTTGTTGTAATATCAGTTTAATTTGGCAAACTTTGGAAAATTGGCACAATGCTCAATTAGAACACTGTCAAGACAACTTGTCAACAAATACTCACTGAACATGAAATTAAGTTTCAGTCACGAACTGAAAGTGTCAAGTGTTCATTGTGACTGTAATGTCACTGTAAGTACTGTAAGTCACACACTTGTAGCAGAGACTTTGAAAAAGCATTCGACTCAGTTGATAGAAATTATTTGATACATGTACTATCGTTTTTTAACTTTGGTTCAAGTATTAATTGATGGATTCAGACTTTTTATAATGTTATAGAATCTAGGATTATGGTCAATGGTTTTGCTACACAACCTTTTACGATTGAACGTGGGTGTCGCCAAGGAGATCCTGTTGCACCATACTTGTTTATTCTATGTGTGGAAATATTCAGTATAATGCTACGTAACAATGATAAAATTAAAGGACTTAGTATCGGTAACATAGAATATAATCTGTCGCAATTTGCTGATGACACTACTCTTACATTAGATGGATCCGAAAAATGCCTCTGTGCAGTTCTGAACGTCTTGCAAATATTTGCTCGCTTTTCTGGTTTAAAGGTAAACGTTGACAAGACAAAACTCATTTGGATTGGTTCAAAAAAGAGATCACGTTACAAACTATGTAAAGAATACAACTTTGATTGGTCTCAAACAGATTTTAGTCTTCTGGGAATTAACTTTAATATTGATCTTGAAACCATGATTGAAGATAATAATAGGGACAAAATTGCAAAAATCGAAAAACAAATGAATATTTGGTCAACGCCTTGTTATCTCCTTTTGGGAGAAATACTATTTTAAAATCCCTTCTACTTTCACAGTTAAATCATCTATTCTCAGCCCTTCCCAATCCACCAAAAGCACTACTCGATAAATTATAAAAAGCATGTTTCAGATTTATATGGAAAAATAAGCGGGATAAAGTAAAAAGAAACATAATCACTTTAAACCCAGAACACGGTGGGATCAGGATGCCAGATGTACAAAATGTAATTTATGCTCAAAAACTTAAATGGATAAGTAGACTTATTACTTCAAATAATAAATGGTGTCATATTATTCTAAACAAAATACCTAGTCCATATTCCATCTGGTCTGGTAATTCAAAGCAAATTAAAGAAATATGTATTCCAAATTTATCCAATAGATTTTGGAAAGATGTTTTTACTGTATGGGAAGACTTTCTTGCAAAATATGAATCAAGTATATTATCAGAAAACCAAATTAAAAGTCAAACTATCTGGGGTAACTCCAACATAACTATTGATGACAAACTGATAATGTATGAAAACTGGAAGACTAAAGGTGTAATCTTTGTTAATGATATTATACATGAGGAAGGTAGGTTATTAACTTTCATAGATTTTCGAAAAGATATCAAATAAAAACCAATTTTCTAACATTTGAAGGAATCAAAGCAGCAGTAAGGTCATACGCACACAAACATAAAATTTACAAATTTTCAGAACCGCTGCAAAATCCTATCTTTCCCATTAATTACCAATCATTGAATAATTCTGCGGGAAATAAGCATTTATATAATTCTCTTTTGAATTCATCCTTCATCGTGCTACCATGCTATTCCAAATGGGACCGTGTTTGAGACAGATATTTCACTGACAAAGAATGAATGATTTACAACATTATCCCAAACAAATGTACTGTAAGTACTGAACTTAGGTGGTTACAATATAGGATTATCCTCAACAGTTTACCAACAAAATCTTTTCTTTATATAATAAAATACATAGAATCACCACTTTGCTCCTTTTGTCAAAAATATCTAGAAACTACTGACCACCTCTTTTGGAAATGTGAGCATGTAAAGAAAATATGGATCGAAGTAACAAAATGGCTTCATGCTGTTCAACTATCAGTAAACTTTATGCTTGAAAAGGTTTTGTTTGGCATTCAAGGTGAAAATAATAATCCTATAAATGTAATCATCCTTCTAGTCAAACAAAATATTTCAAATGTGCTTCTGGAAACTACTTGCCTAATATCAATTATATTAAAAAAGATGTTATTAAGTATTATGATGCCACCAAATATCTCCATTTATCAAATGGTACTGAACAAATGTTTTTTTCAATTCTGGTCAACGTTACACTTGTTGTTAGGATAGATCTATATTAGTCTGAAATACCGTGTACATGTTTTACATATTATGTACCACAGATGATTCACCATGTACTGTTTGCTGCCTACCTGTAGGATCCTATAATGTATGCCTGTAAAATATATTGAAAAAAAAAAAAAAAAAAAAAAATTGTAGCAGAGAATTTTCAACATGATTTCTTACGATTTCAGGTGAAATAAACTCACAGTATTAGAAAGTAAGTACTTTATGAATCGAATCGAAATGCATGCATTTGAAATCGAGATCGAAACGTACATCTATCGATTCGATTTTCGATGAACCGAACCGAATCGTGACACCCCTAAAACTAACACATGCTTCTCTGGATGTCAAAGTTCTATCAAGAGGGTATAGTGGGTCTTCTGGAGAAAGTCTGGAAGGTAAGACTTTGAGCAGATCTTATGAATATTATTGTGAATGAAGGTGAGCATCAGAGCCTAGACTACCCACCACAGCCCGCTCCGCCAGTCCAATGGATCCCGGGGGCAGCTGGTAGCACTTCCTGTCTCCGAAGGTGGGTGCACTCTTTGCAGCATCTCTGTGATAGAAAGGTGAGGTGAAATTGGGTTTAATGTCGTACTTGAGAATATTTTGCTCATATGACGATGTGCATGCGTGTGTATGTGTATGTGTGGCTGCTTGTACTAGCCCAGACTTAAGCTGGTTTTATAGTGCTAGCCCACTGAGATACCACGCCGCAGTGAAGCATGAATACCCCACTCAGACACATTATACTGACTCCGAGCCGACCAGTCCTTGTACCCATTAATGCCGAACGCCAGGCAGGGACCAACAAGTACCATATTTTTAACGTCTTTTGGTATGATGCGTCGGGGGATCGAACCCGCGACCTTCCGTTCTTCGGTGATAGAAAGGAATTACAACAGTACAAAAGAATGAAATACACAATGCCATTTTAGAAAGTGGTCAAATGTAACGTATGTATGTTTGGGATTACACTTTCTTAGTAAAGTACAGATTATAGTACTTTTGGGGGTTGAGCCCCATGTGGGATTTGAACCCACACCCTCAGAGTACTAGAATCTTTACTTTACTAAAAAGTGTAATCCCAAATATAACATACGTTATAGTACAAAAGAAGTTTTCAAAAAGTGCTAAATATTGAAACTAACAAAATGTAAAATGTCAACTTCTCAGTAATATAAAATATATCAACTGTGGTCTCACCTCAGGCACGTGAGCTTGTTCAAAATTGCCTCTGTTCACCAAGTAGAAAATGGGTACCCGGGTGGGATAAAGTCAAGTGACTTTAACCTTTTAGCGCCTAACAGGCAGGTAAGGTTATCCAGGGTAATAGTAATAAACAGATCATTTGGGCACTTAGAGCATGCATTGTGCATGGAGAAATGCGCATGACAAATGCACTTTTATTATTATTATATCCGAGTGAACACAGACCAGCAACCATCTAAGACCCTAAGATACCTTACCTCAACTTCAAGAGCTAAACAAATAATGATTTGACCTTCAAATACTGCAGTATTACTATAATACCAAGAAACTAACATGGCTAAGATTTAAAATGAAGATGATCTTCACCTGAATGGACCATAGAAGCTGGAGGCAAACTTGGCGCGCTGTAGCTCATGACAGCCACCCTGTTGTCAAGACCCGCCTCTCTCAGACCCTTCTTAATGGCGCCAATCCTTCCATCCATCATGTCGGAGGGAGCTATGACTTGGCACCCTGGCAGTACAAGAAGAGCAGTAAGTATTCCTGGTACACAGAGATTGCTGAAGAACAGTAACAATTCCACTGGACTAAATGACAAGGAGAAGATTGAGTGCACAACATAGCTGTCAGCATTGATTGATTGAGATTGTGTGCAATTATGATGCTTAAAAACCTACATCCACTTGATCAAGTTTTTTTATATTTAGTTCCGTATTTTTATACTTAATTCCTTATGATGAAAGAGTCAATAGTTATTTTGAAGTTCGTGCCTTTTTATGTAGAATAGCGTCTTGTTTAGTTCCATGTACTGAAAAATCAAGCAAGTTAGGCTTGCCACATTTTGTGATTTAATTGTAGTTTAAAGGTCTGGCTATGTATCCATGTTAATGGATTGGCTGTTGAACATCAAATTATCATTTAAAAAAATATATCCCTATTTAGAAGTCTGTCGCAAAATATCTGGTTGCAATAGCATGTTAGTGACGAGATGGTGTCAGCCATTTTGTTTTTCATAGCCTGCACCAGTATTGTTTTCCATGATTTAGAAGATAAAGCTATTCTGTTTTCAATTTTGCGGTCCTTTATCATTGATTTAAGGCCGCTAAATGTAATTTAAAAACCGAATGCGTTAGCACGACTGATATGCGTTTTAAAACCGAACGGTTTGACGTGCAAGAACACAAGGCGTGAAGAGCCCTTTTTCCAGGAAATCGTTTGGAATCGTCGTGTTGAGGGACGGGTTGTGTAATGAACAAAATAACTAACTTTATTCATGGAAATAATTGTTGACAACCACCCTGCTATTCCCAATCTGGAAAAGACCTGACATGCCACGTTTTATGTGGGATACATGGACAGTGGAAGTGGAAGGACTGGGCACTATGGCCCTGACGGAAGCGGTCAGGTTAGGACGAGTGGGCCGATGTGTGTTGTCGACGTCATGCCCGATAGATCTGGACCCGGTTTGAATATACTGCCGCTTTTGCGCTGCTGACAGATTTTTCAGCTTCGTAGTTTCTTCACTGGGATTAGGATCAAGAAATTCTTCTTCAAACCATTCGCTTTTTACTTCAAAAACATCAAAGATGTTGCCGAGGTAGAAATTGCCGATGTCCGACATGTTTGTTTACAAACAATAGGGTCAACGAGTTCATTGCATTCATACGCAGTTAATCGGTCACTTTCATTAGCGGTCTTAAACTGCCATTTAAGTACGGTTATGATGAGCTCCCAGCCAATCAGAATCGAGTATCACACAATGTCATGCTAGAATTTTTAGTCAAGTTCATTTTCGGTGAAATACAAAGTGCCAGCCTCATTACATACGCTACTATTGTTTGTGTACAGGTTCGTGTCAGTGCACACTGTGATCAATAGCCGTATAGTACTCACTAAAATAGGTTATATTGACTCTGAAATATCATTTCTACACTTTATAATCTCTCATCTCATTTGTCATAGACAGGAACTCCTAAAAGTTACCTATGTAAAGTTACACCCATATATTATGTGGGTTATTGGCTATAAGCCAACATGCCTCTGATATAGTGAGTGAGTGAGTTTAGTTTTACGCCGCTTTCAGCTATATTCCAGCAATATCACGGCAGGGGACAACACAAATGGGCTTCACACATTGTACCCATATGGGGAATTGAACCCAGGATGCTTTAACCACTAGGCTACCCCACCATTCCGCCTCCGATATAGTTTGTTATCAATACACCTACCAATCTAACTGGTTTAATGATAAAAAATTCTCAAAAAGACTTCATTCAAATATTTTACTTCCAAACTGTTTGCTTGTTCTTTTCTCTGTTTTTCCATGGTGCAGTTTTGGTATTGTGATGGTTAGACAGTACTTGTACCTTCCCGCACCCTACATTTGTCTGCAGCATTTCACCCAGTCTAACACTTCAGCAAGTCCTATATTCAGCAGGCTGCTTGTGAAGGAGGTAGGTGTGGTTTTGTAATGGAGGACACTCTGGTCTGATACCCGTGAAGGTCGGGGTTAGAATATTGATCTTCAGTAACCCATGCTTGTCGTAAGAGGCGACTAATGGTATCAGCAGGCTTGCTGACTTGGTTGATGCATGTCATCGGTTCCCAATTGCGCAGATCGATGCTCATGCTGTTGATCACCGGATTGTCTGGTCCAGACTCGATTATTTACAGATCGCCGCTATATAGCTGGAATAATGTTGAGTGCAGCGTAAAACTAAACTCATTCACTCACTCTGGTCTGACATATGCTGTTATTATGAATCAATTCTGAATGAAAATCCACACGTATGTGAGATAAAATTAATGTCACAGTCAGAATTATGCTATTGAAATGTAAATACATTTCCTGATTCACTCGGTCAGCTCTTGAAATTATTGAATAAGTTACTGGGGACCATTTCTACCCCTACAAGGTTGTGGTCGGTGAAGGTGAAGTATGACACTGATGTTAACCATTGCCTTCTTTCTTACAGGAAACAACTTCTTTAACTATGGAACAACATTTCTTGGCTGCTTCTCGTCCCTTCATCACGTATATCTTGAAGCCTCATTGACATCTCCTGTGTCATGAACAATTGCAACACACAAGTTGTTTGATCCCTGATTACACCTCAACTTATAAAGTTGATCAATGGATTGTCTGGTCCAGACTCAGTTATTTACAGACCGCTGCCGCATAGCTGGAAAATTACTAACTGCGTCATAAAACATCAAACAAAACCAAAAACTTCTAAAGACCAACCAATTTCAACATACCTGCTTTGGCATAGTTGACAGCAATGGCGGCCAGGCGGGCAATACTGGCGGTGTTATCCAGACTACCATCCTCCCTCAGAATACCTGCATGATGAACGGTAGAACAGATGTAGGCTACTGCACGTGCATTGCATGACGATGACATTGATTCCACGAGTAGCTGCACATGCCTTGCTCATAAGACTCTCAAGTCGGTGTAGCAAGTCGCACTACACTTGATCGCGGACAACCTGGGGCCCCTTTGCTGACAATGGCAAGTGCCAGTGGGCGGCACTCATACATGCTAATACGGGTCAATTGTCAGGTCGGTGGTCAACTTATCCTTGTTTGCCAGTAGGTGTAACTGAGGTTCCCAGTATTGATGTGCATTCAGTATTCAGTCATTGAGTTTTCTGTTTCATTGATTATTCATTATTTTTTAACCATTATTTTTTAATCATTATTTTTTTAATCATTATTTTTTAATCATTATTTTTTTAATCATTATTTTTTAATCTCATTATTTTTTAATCATTATTTTTTAATCATTATTTTTTTAATCATTATTTTTTAATCATTATTTTTTTCATCATTATTTTTTAATCTCATTATTTTTTAATCATTATTTTTTAATCATTATTTTTTCATCATTATTTTTTTCATCATTATTTTTTTCATCATTATTTTTTAATCATTATTTTTTTAATCTCATTATTTTTTAATCATTATTTTTGCATTTGGTGTCACTGAGTGTTATGCAGAGGATAAGAAAATGAATTAACTAAATGGGAAGTATACGTGTACCTCTCAGTAAACTGATAAAGTAATTCAGGTTATAAAAATGGGGATTAAAAGTGAATCTCTTTGAAACATGTACAGGGAAAATCGATATCTATTGTATGTGATCGGACAGCACACGAAAAGTCATACACACAAAGTCATTGTGCTTCCGTGAAGCAAGTCGCATTTAAGCTGTCTGCTTCAACTATCTGTCCATGCTTCAAATGTCTTCTTACTACTGAGTATTCTGTGTCACTGAGTGCTATTAAATATTCAGTATTATTCAGTGTTTTTGGTTAATTGATACTGTAGTGTTTGTAATGATCAATCGGATTCCGTTTTGGGTTATATGGTTTTGTGTTCACCCAATTTGCATACAACTGGACATTCGCAGTCTGTACGCTGAAACTGTTTTGAAAATAAAAAGGTCTACTCGTGATGTGGAGAAGCAGCAAACAACCCGCCTCGTGTCTTGAGTGTTTAATTGGTGCTATTGGAAGTGGGCTTAAATGCGAACTGGAGACATACAGTTGCACACAGTACAGATACCCTGAAATTTTCATTTGACAACAATTTCTTAATGTTCAAATTTCTGCCCATCACATACTCAATAATGTCCAGAAAGTATTCATGAATAAATATTCATATTCATTACTATATATTCGTACAATATATCATAATCACCTGATAGTGTCTTGCTGGCGGCCCTTATATAAAATAATACTCCAAAGCATATTACATGTTATTTTGTATGCAACATATTTCTGTAACCATACAAGCGGAAGTGATACAGAAACTGGTAAGTGACAATTTCATCACGGTTGCCATGGAAACATTGCATGGGATGAGCCGGGTAATGTTTCAGAAATGTAAAAAATTCCCACAAATATAGAACAAAAAATAATGGCAGATAACTTGACTTGAAGTTAGTTGAGCTACAAATGATGAAAACAGCTCACATACCCCCGCTTCCCAATTCGGGACATGGAAATGACAGATATTGATATATATAATGTGACAAGGATCAGCAGCTCACAAGACTTTCTCCTTGACTCTACTAAACTTTATATACATGTTAGATAATAGTTTTGCCATGGTCTGATTACAGTGATAATTTATGGAAACAATATTTTTTTGTGTTTTCCGTGGAAACCTGATATACAATTGAACTTGACTGTCTCATGTTGCACACAATGAAGATGACGTAGATGAAGATTGTTATTTTTTAGCACATGGCATATCTGTGGGTCATGATTAACTTGTGTATTAAGTTGGGTGAACCTAGCATGTATAGTTTCGATGATATGCTGTGGCCAGGTAACCATCAAACACATTTTGCACCAAGTCATGTTTCCATGGAAACAACAACAAGACAAATTCTGAAAAAACTTTAAAATAGCAAAAGGCACATCAATGGGTAATGATTAACATGTGTGTGAAGTTTGGTGAACCTAGCATGTAAACTTTAAGAGATATGCTCCGGACAAAACCATCAAACACATTTGGCACTAAGTCGTGTTTCCATGAAACAGCTTTCTGAAAAATATTAAAATAGCAAAAGGCACATCAATGGGTAATGATTAACATGTGTGTGAAGTTTGGTGAACCTAGCATGTAAACTTTAAGAGATATGCTCCAGACAAAACCATCAAACACATTTGGCACTAAGTCGTGTTTCCATGGAAACAGCAAAAAAACAAAATTCTGAAAAAACTTTAAAATAGCAAAAGGCACATCAATGGGTAATGATTAACATGTGTGTGAAGTTTGGTGAACCTAGCATGTAAACTTTAAGAGATATGCTCCGGACAAAGATTCGGGACGGACGGACGGACGGACATAATGACACTGTATAACCCTGTTACTTCGTAGCAGGGGTATACTAACTGAAAAACAACTATAGTGACGTCACTATTGTCTCGCCAGGTTCTTCTCTTAAGCCCCATTCATATGCACAAAATTTACTCATGTAAGTAAATTTGCACATGTGTAAATATACATATGTGTGTAATAGTAAATTTACTTTGCATTCACATGGAATTTATGTAGAGTCAGTAAACTTGAAAGTGTAAATAATAAATGCCTTAAAATGTCTTATTTTTTCTCTAACTTCAACAGAGAAAGATGTTCTCTTATCACTTCGCTTTATCAGACAAACAGTATTAGATATGTACTGCTCTTGCAATAAGTCTGTCACAAGAAAGACCGTCTGTTTGCTGGAACTACGTGAATATAACTAGTGACGACAAAGACTGGTACGATAATTTTCGGATGAACAAAGGGGTTTTCGATCTTATCTGCACACAACTGCAGGATTACTTAAAAGCTAGCGACCAAGCTGTTCGCCAAACTTGGTATGTACGAATGAAAGTTGCAATTGCAATATACTTGATGGCTTCAACTTCAGAATATAGAACTGTGGGGAATTTGTTTGGTGTAGGGAAGTTCACCGTTTGTAAATGCATTCATGAAGTTTGTCAGACCATATGTGATGTTTTGCTTCCGGAATATGTAACTTTTCCCCTAAATGAAGATGACATGACACTATTTACTCCCAGTGCAAATTTGCACATGTGTAAATATACTTTTGCACCTGGTCGACCACATGTAAATTTGCTCCTAGTGTATATTTACATATGTGTGTAAATGCGTTCACATGACACATTAACACATGCATCTAAAGTTGCTCATGTGTGTATTATACATATGTGTGCAAACAGGTGCATGTGAACGGGGGCTTATCAGAGTAAACCTCTACAGGCAGATTTGCGGGCATTCTCCATGAAATCCTGTGGATTTTCTACAGAATTGCCCGCATCCTGGGAATTTTCTACAGAATTTCCTGCATCCCGGGTATTTTTGACAGAATTGCCCGCATCCCAGGGATTTTCTGAGGAAGAGCCCATGACTTTGAATTATTACTTGTTTTGAAGATTGATACAACTTCGCCTTGCTATCACTGACATACGATTGTAAAATATCACATTATTGAAACCTTCCAATATATAGTGCTGATACCTGGTTTCGAACCTGCACCCCTTCGCTTACTACCTTGGCGGTTTTATCCACTAGGCTACGAGGTGAGGTGAGGTGAGGTGAAATTGGGTTTAACGTCGTGCTTAAGTATATTTCGTTCATATGACGATGTGCTTGCGTGTGTATGTGCGGCTGCTTGTACTAGCCCAGACTGAAGCTGGTTTTATAATGCTAGCTCACTGAGATACCATGCCGCAGTGAAGCATGAATACCCCACTCAGACACATTATACTGACTCCGAGCCGACCAGTCCTTGTTGTAGCCATTAATGCCGAGCGCCAGGCAGGGACCAACAAGTACCATATTTTAACGTCTTTTGGTATGACGTTGTCGGGGATTGAACCCGTGACCTTCCGGTCTCCCCGGCAGATGCTCTAACCACTAGACTACAAAGGATCGCTATGAAGAATGAGATTGTCAGTATGAACCATGTGTTCCTCACAAGACGGGTAGTGTGGGCAGTGCACGTGCATGACACGGGTAGTGCGTGCAGAGCACGTGCATTGCGTGTGTATGGCAAGGTGTCAGCTGCCAATGGCATCCCAGTTGATTTCAACAGTAAATATCAAATGTTGAACTTATATCTATATAAGTATACCTGCGGTCGGTTCATAAGTTGGATCAAAACCGAATCCGAGGCCCTCCCCAATTCCCCTCTGCCGCAGGCTTACTTTTTCGAACAAAACGTCAGAGTCATTTTTGATCCTTTACATAAAAAACAGACCCAAAAAATCATTGCTTGTGTTTACTGGATTGTAATGGGAGATGTGTGTACCAAATCAAATGTTCTGCTTGTAGGAAATCACAGAAACAGTTAGTGGACAGCATCACATGATCATAAACTGGAAACATCTGCCACACGCTGGAAGAATGTCTACATAAATTGTGCTTTATCTCATCAACAGCTAATTCCTCGAGTTAAGCGTGACAGTGTAGGCAGCAGCTGGTGGTTCTACCGCCAGACAACAGCTGGCTGTCATCAATACACTGTGTGTTGTATACACTACATTGTTGATAGATAGGTCTGACCAGCCAAGCATGCTATATGTCGTATGAAACAAACTCAGTCATTATGACATGTCAAAATACACCTGAATAGACGAAAATATAAATTTGTGTATAGACCCAGCTTGGGTCAAATAGCCTGGTTGTACAAGATTACTTTTTTCGGATATTTTTCAAAATAAATCCATTTTCATCATAAACTTTGTCACAGAGTTGTGTGAGTAGATGTGATGTGTAAGACAGCCCCAGGCACTAGGGACAGATTTTACTTGTGCTGATTCACGTTTAACTCAGTCATCAGCACTAATCTGCTAGGAATTTTGAACCTCTGGTGTGTCTTGGTCCTACTCACCACAATGGCCGTGGCATGTGTAGGGGCACAGACAGACATCGCAGGCTATCAAGAGATGGGGGAACCACTTCCGCAGCAGTCCGATAGCAAGCAGCACCGGTGTTGTCGGCAGGTCCGCCCCTGAACCCTCGTTGTCCTGAAACATCAAGTAGCTGCACATAAAGCATTTTGCATGAGCTTGGTATAAATTTGTGTGGCACACTTGCGAGTGTAATAATTTCTTTATTATACAGGTTAAGCATGTTCATTGACGTCACGTTCAACTGTTTAATGATGTCACAGACGACAAAATACAGAAACAATGGTTGCTAGGCAAATATGTGATATGTGCATGTGCACATATGATATTTATGACACTGGTTATGTTTCACCATATGGGTAATATATTCGATCAGCGTATCGCAATACCTATCGTTTTCATGTCTGAACCGGTAAATACCGGTAAACCGGTTATATTGCGCAGCCCTAATGGACAACTTAACATGTCTGTGTCCATCTCTGGACCGCTGGAACATCTGTAGCATACTGTGATCCTTTACAGTGGGACTCTAACCCTATGTGTTCAAGTCTAAGCTGAAAACTCATCTCTTTCACAAACACTGCTCCTGAGTTTTGCCATATTCATCATGGGGTGAGTTTTCAGCAACCACACTGTGGATGGAAAACAGTGTCTCACATCTGTCCATCTTACCAGTGTGTGTGTGTGTGTGTGCGTACGTGCAAGCATGTGTATACATATTTCTAATCACTTCTGTTTGGAATGCTTGATAAAGGAGATGTACTTTCATTGTTATGCCAGCCTTCATCATCTAAGCAATATTCCAGAAAGAGGGCGGTGGGGTAGCCTAGTGGTTAAAGTGTTCGCTCATCACGCTGAATACCTGGGTTTGATTCCCAACATGGGTAAAATGTGTGAAGCCCATTTCTGGTGTTTCTCGCCGTGAAATTGCTTGAATATTGCTAACAGCAGTATAAAACTAAACTGACTCACTTTATTCTTGATTCTCATACAACTTAGGCACATGTATCACTCACTGTTAGAAGATATCCAATATTTCAGCACAAATTTGCCTGATCCTCTTGTCTTGGTCAATAATGTCGGGAATCAAATAAACTTTTTGTGAGCAATTTCAAATGATTTCTGTGTCATGTTTTATTAAGAAATATTATGTGGGATTCAGTTCATACCCATGAGAGACAGAGTGACAGTAAGCTCTCCAGAATTACAAGCAGGGGAGTAAACCTATGGAGGGGAATCTGTCAATTCACTGACTGTGGCCTCATTTTGATGTGTCGCCACGTGGTTCAAACAGTAGATCACCCGGACTGTGATTTATGCAAGTTCATCAAATGCCATTGAAATTACCATAAGGAATGGTACTCTTTAATGGCATGTCATAGCATTATGTAAGGGTTAATTAAATAATTCACAAAGGCATGTCACCTGACATACTACAGGTAACCCATCTACCTGTACTGCGTGTCCGATGTTTACATTACAGAAACTGTTGACATATACCCGACAGTAGAGCGGGCATGATTGCATCAGACCCTGTATGTATAGAGTGCAGCTGATTCATGGTCTGTGCTCTGTTGAGAAGGGTTTGTTTAGTATACCTGTAAATAATTACACAGTTTCTGTCAGGGATGTTAATGACTGGGACTATTTTCAGTTCGGTCGGTTCGACCCCAGATGGTCGGCATCATCAGGAAGTAAACATGGTACAGCAACACTTCCTGTGATTAGTTGGCTTCTAGGTGCAAGTCACACTGAACAACCCCAAAATAAGTGAGTGAGTGAGTGAGTTGGGTTTTACGTTGCTTTTAGCAATATTCCAGCAATATCATGACGGGGGACACCAGAAATGGGCTTCACAGATTGTGCCCATGTGGGGAATCGAACCCGGTCTGGGCGGTATGACGAGCCATAACTTTTGGTATGGCTGTCGGGAAACCATTAGGCTACCCAGACGCTGTAACCAACACCAAAAATAAGGATAAAGAGACTTATTACTTCATATAGGACTAGACCACTACGCCCACTACTGGAATCCTGACAACTCAGGACTGGCTAAAAGGGTCAATAAAAACTGTAAATATTGTCGATGAGAAAAATGATGAATGATTATTGATATGAAAATTGTGACTTCACATATTTCTGGATTTAGTTAAGTATGAATTAAATAACTGATCAGCACACATTGGGTGAATTCTCTAAATATATGTACACATTTGTAATCTGAAATTCAGTTGACACATTAAATTGAAAACATATTCAGAAATTACCATGGTTACAGTCTCTTGGATACATAGAAGGAACTAGTTCTGACTGGAACAAATGTGGTTTCATTTCAATTATGTTTATAAACCGTTCTGAATGAATTTAATACAAACCCTCATAATCTCCAGGTGGTTTCTGTACATTTCCATTACATACAGTATTCTTAGTGTGTACTAGTATCAAGAATATGCATGATAAGTTGTACAGAAATGGACATTTAAATACACAACTTCTTTAGGCCTAAAAAAAAATGCTGTAGTTCCGATTACCCGACCGACCCTTGATTTCTGGTGCCAACCCTAGTTTTTTATGAGGTATGAATAAAATAAGCTTTCAGATACCATTGTTTTTCCCAAGCACCAACGGACATCAGTCATTCTGACAGAGTGAGTGAGTGAGCATGGTTTTACGCCGCTTTTAGCAATATTCCAGCAATATCACGGGGGGACACCAGGCTTGTACCCATTTGGAATCGAACCCGGTCTTCACCGAATAACCATTAGGCACCCACACATTCTGATAAGAAAGACAACATGATGGCTGCAAGCTTGATTGAATAAACAATTACACATTGATAAATGTGTTATTAGTTCGTACTTTACAGTTCGTACTTTAATAAAATGTAAAAAGAAATCCCTTCCTACCTACCTACCCTAAATTTTAAAGAGTTGTAATCGGAACCACATTTCTTTTATTTGGCCTTATGTACACAACATACACTATCTCAACTATAATTACAGAAACAACCCCAGCTATGTATTTATGGGTACCTTGCACCTGAGTGTGGAAATACAAACCTCAACGGCACAGAACTAACTGTTATTTCAAAAAAACAAAACTGTATTTTAACCAATCAGAAATCTACTTGCCACAAAGGCACAAAATTGTGTACAGAAAAACACTGATTGTAACTACAAACCACATCAATTCACATTATCCATTCACAGAAAATTCAATCCAGACAATCGTAACACCCCCCACACAATTTCAGATTGACCGAGCAAAAACCGTGCACACCATACATAACTGTGAGACTACTGATGGACAAGGGTACAACAACTGCTGAACATATATCACGATATATACACCTGGATTTGATTGAGGCGCCCAATATACAATCAGAGTTATCCAAGTGAATGATTGTTCGTTTTCCCAACTGTAGACATTATAATTGTGGCATCAATCCTCCACTCTTTGATGATATGAAATTACAGTGTACTCTGTCAATACCGGCATCAGTCGGGACCAAGTAAAAATGCCGGTTTTGACAGAGTGCCGGTTTAGCTAGGTTCGCTTATGACGCCTGCGCACACGGAAGTTCGCTGTCGTACTGTCACTTTAGCATTAACAAAATGTTTGAATAAGAAACAAGGCAGTGACTGAATGCCCCACTACATGTATTAATTACTCTAGGTAAGTGTTACGTACCACTCACTGATTAACAAGATACTGATTAACAGTTTCTGTTTCTGAATAATCTCGGGAGTCACAGCGAATTGTGTTGTTACATCATTTGGACCTAATTGCATCAAAGGGTTACGCCGTCTTTCATGTGCCGGTTTTTACAGATTCGTTTTCATAACAACTTGTTCGTTGGGACTGAAAAACAATGCCGATATCCTGAATAGACAGATGCCGATGTTTACAGAAGTTTCTAAATGATAATAACGTGCATTTCTGCCGGGACTGAAACTTTGTGCCGATGTAGACAGAGTGCCGGTGTTAAGAGAGGCCGGTATTGACAGAGTCCACTGTATTATTATATTTAGGCTTCATTTACAGATATGAAACCTGTTTGCACCCAGTGCAACCTCAGGTAATAACCTTATTGCACAAACAAAAACAGGTTGCACCTGTCGTTCAATATATTAATATATATAACACATGAGTTTTGGTACTGATGATTGAGAATGATGATAATACTAAGTCATCTTCTATAGCACACAGTCTCCAAACACCAAGTGATTATTCGTGGCGCTAAATCAGAATCTGATTCTTATTACCCTGGATAACCCAAGCTGCCAGTTAGGCGCTAGAAGGTTAAAGTCACATGACTTTATCCAACCGGGTACCCATATTGTGCTGGGTGGACAGAGGCAATTTGGAACAAACTCACTTGCCTAAGGTGAGACCACATGTATCACATGTGCTTCGTTGTGGGGCAGGACTGAAGTCCTAGAAACTCTCAGGAGTCAAGCTGCCAAACATGGTCACCCATCCAAGGACTCTCCGAGCTCGACGTTGCTTAACTTCAAATGATTCGTGACCTGAGCTCTGTGCACAGGACCACACACCATTATAACAAAATTTAACTGGTCCGATGAGATCATTTTATCTTACTTCATAAAATGTCATGACATATATCTGTATGCATAAACTCTGACTGGTGTGATTCACATGAAGCATGGAGTAAGTCAGTGAGTATAGTTTTACGCCGCTTTTAGCAATATTCCAGCAATATCATGGTGGGGGACACCTCAAATATGCTTCACACATTGTACTCATGTGGAGAATCGAACCCGGGTCTTCGGCGTGACAAGCGAATGCTTTAACCACTAGGCTACCCCACCGCCCCACATGAAGCAAGGATTTTTGGTAAGTGTACTTCATGGAGTAAAGAAACAAGGAAACACATGCAGTGATGTTTCTTCATCAGAAGATACATGGTGACAACGTTGGAACATCACAGGTAGTGATGCAAGACAAGGCGAGAGTGAGTGAGTGAAAGTTGCTTTATCAGCAAAGCAGGAGCTAACTCACATGTGACATTTTAATACATCTTTACTTACCAGAATACTGATTTTGGTGCAAGATATTGACTACCAGAGCTCCAGATAAGATTTAGCTAATGTGGGTACTGTACCCACTGTATTTTTTTGGAGTGGGTATTATGAATGTTGAGTGGGTATTTCATTTTCCGTTACCCACTGCTTTCAAATATGTGCGTATTTCAGTCATATTACTCACCTAAGTATTATGTCATTGAGTAAGTTTACTAAGCAGGTATGTTCTGCCTTATGTCATACCTAATCAAAACCAACTTAAATATAATGGAAATGATTTCATAAAAAATCACTCCTCCTATACTGACATTACCACACTAGTCCTATACTATATACAGTACAACTTGATAGCAATCGATGTCTTTTTCACTACGCAAGCGATTTTTATAAATTCCGTACCCATTTGTTTTAAACTTTTTGCGTATCTAACATTTTAAATGCGTGATTGGTACACGACAATTATTTTTCAATGCGTAATTGGAAATTTTCTATGCATATTTTAACCGGATACGCAGCTTATCTGGGCCTCTGACTACCATTATATTTTCAGTTCTGATGAGCAACATGAAACTGAATCATGGCCACCTACCTTGTATATCTTCCCTGGCACACCAAACAATAACACTGTCTTTAACCCTTTCTCCACCAGGGGTTCAAGTGCCTCCTTCAGTCGATGGATCCCATACCGAAACTGGCCAGGCATGCTGGTAATCTCCTGGAGTGCATCTTCTTCATCGCTGGAAACGTTAATAACAATAAAGATTATTTGTTTGTTTGTTCACCGCTCTAACATTATTACAGAGATATGATGCCCATAGGCGGATCAGGGGGGGCGGGGGGGGGGGTGTGCACCCACCCTTTTGGTCCTAAATGACCATTAAAACTCTTGTGAAAATGAAGTGTGCACCCCTCCTTTCTCAAGAGTGTGCACCCCTTTTCAAAAGCTGTATCTGCCCCTGATGCCTATAAATAATGGACTCTGGAGTTGACAATCCAGTGATCAATATCATGAGCATTGACCCACTCCATTTGGATACAAGGACAAGCTATCAATCAGGTCACATAGACTGAATAAATCATTGATTGATTAATCAGTAAATCAATCGATCAGTTGCATCAGCCATTACTGATGGCCTAGGGAAACTAATCTATATCCATAAACAAATGAAACATTAAAATAATGTTTCTTTCTGTTATGTTTGCTAAATCAAGACAAAAACAACTGATGCATTTTCCTGACTTGTAAAACTAAAATATGAACAACATACTCGCATGCGTGTCTCAACAAATAGTATCATCCCTCATCTTGATCGTAGTATTACGGTGCCTGTTTCGTTTGCACAATGTTATGATTGTGTCTCCTTATTGCCCAGGGTTTTACGGGACGTGTGATTCATGTGTATTGGTCGCAGAAAATTGATCAAATACCCCAAACTAAAATCCTGTACGTCCTTGTGGACGCAATATAATTGTTTTCAGGGAACGTACTATCTGAGTTTGTAATGATGTCCCATATTAAGATATAAACATTCTGTCTACAATCGTTATTCTAATGGGGCCGATGGGGTAGCCTAGTGGTTAAAGCGTTCGCTCGTCACGCCGAAGACCCGGGTTCGAATCCCCACATGGGTACAATGTGTGAAGCCCATTTCTGGTGTACCCCGCCATGATGTTGCTGGAATATTGCTAAAAGCGGCGTAAAACCAAACTCAGTCAGTCAGTCATTATTCTAATGACATTGAGTGAGTGATCAGCGAGTGAGTATGGTTTTACGCCACTTTTAGCAATATTCCAGCAATATCACAGCGGGGGAACACCAGTTCTAATGACACTTAAAGTAACGCATATTATAACATAATCATTATCAAATTGGAAGCATCCATGATCATTGATCTCATGCAAATTGATGGACTCCCAATTTTGGAAATGGACTCTCAGAATACATATGTCCTGAGTCCCCAGGACTCCCAGTTTCGAAGAGCTATGTAAAACCTAGTCTGTCTCACAGTCCCTGAAGCACATTATTTTCCCTACTGCCAAGCCTTCTCTGCAGTGCTAAAGCCCTAAATAAAGCAAGTCTAGATTTCCTCAGGTTCTGAATCTCTGGTCTCCCTAGGGCTCCTTTTCAATATAAATGGGCTTGTTTGTTACTATCAAAAGTATATATATTCAGACACTAAGCCTTAGTCTATGTAAAACCCTGATTGCCTACATGACTTTGTAGCGGGCTTTACGATTACAATCTCTTTTTTGACCGATTACTGTGCTCTGATTATCAATCAGCATGTTGTGAGTGATAGCCAGAACAGGGAGTGAAGATTTAGAAATGATAAAAACTAAAGAGAAGAATTTTACATAACAGTTTCTGTGGAACAAACATGATTAGTAACTGTTAATAATACATCAAATGAAAACTTCTGTCTTGTGAAATATTTAACATAATGTTATATTTGGGATTACACTTTCCAAGTGAAGTACAGATTCTAGTACTTTTGTTGGGTTGAGTCCCATCGGGGATTCAAACCCACCCCTTCAGAGTCAGGCACCTAACTGCCAGCACAACAAGTCAGCCGCCTAACCCGCTCAGCCACTGCAACTTCCACAATGAAATATTGTCGAGCAATGTTAAACTAGAGTTGGAAAATATCCTTGAAAGTCCTGGGTCCTGATCATCAAAGCATTCCCAGCATTACAACCCCTTCTAACTCTGTGGCCTATCTCAGGTTTACAAATGCAGTAACACGAGGAACACTGTGTGGATTTCTAATAACCTCTGTTTACTGAGTCTGAGTTCTCAGTTGAGCATGAAATCATATTGACAGTTTCAAAACCTCATGGCCTGGACAGATCCATACACTATAGCAACGAAAATAAGGACGATGATTTATTTAACTCAGCTCACATGCATGCTGACTCTGATTACATGAAGTGAAGTATATACCTCAGTAAGTGAGCTACTGTACCTTGGTTTATGTGTGGGACAAAAGGAAACACGAATAGTGCATCATAATAGTGAGTGAGTGAGTTTAGTTTTACACCACTTTTAGCAATATTCCAGCAATATCATAGCAGGGGACACCAGAACTTGGTTTCACACATTGTACGCATGTGGGGACTCAAACCCGTGTCTTCGGCAAGATGAGTGAACGCTTTAACCACTAGGCTACCCCAGTGCCCCGCATCATAATACTATTAATAGCTTGATGGTGTGAATCATGATATCAACCCCAGGTTTTGATGTTGATTATTGATAGATTACTGTGATACAGCAGGAATAGTGCTGGCAACAGTCACTCACTAACTCTGGTCCCAAGTGGGATGTCAGGTTAAGACTGGCATAACATTTAGGCTGAAAGGGGTGGGGCACACTTCATTTTCACGAGAGTTTCCATGGTCATGTAATAAACTTTCAGGTCAAAAGGCATGCCACCCCCACCCCCACCCAAACTCTGGTTCATCCTATGTGAGCCGCCTGTTTGAGCCACAGTGAAATGGGAAAATCTACACTTGCTTCATTTATGGCCTTCCCTCTACAGAAAGGCCAATACAGACTAGGTGAGAATCCAGGGGCAATATTAAACATGCTGTCATGTAGCTGGACTTCTGTTAAGTGGTGCTATACAAATTATTCTGCATATTTTACATTCATTTCGGTTGTACACATGTACTAGGTGGGGTCAGCAAATCCATACTATATGTTGTTATGTTATGAACGGTCCCTTATTGCGTCATGCTAATGTAAGTACCAGGTATATACAGGTACAAACTATATATTACATAACATAATGGCAACTTAATGCAGATCCATGCAGGTTTAAGCTCATTTTATAGTATATTGTTATTGTAAGGCATAGTTAGATTAAATTGAAGTTGACCTGTAAAACTGTAACATATGCTGAACATGGAGTTTACTAAACTTTGCAATCAAGGTTCAGAAACGCGGACGTGTAGACAAGATCTCACAGGCTACAATCTGCGTCGACACCGGTAAAGAATGTCTGTTCGGCACGACAACTGCAAGACCCCTGAATCTAGATCTGCTGAACATTTGCCTTTCGACATTCGTATGAGTGTAATACAGTATCAGACACGTCATCAGACAACTAGGCTGTAAAGGAACTTTACACAAAAATTGCTGATCGTGACCATCAAAATCAAAGTCCAAATCTCTGTCAGCGCTACACGTGTGGAGTTGAGATATATGACATACTAGCTGTACTCACACGATGAACAGGGGATATATCAAGTTCTCCGGTGTAATGGTAGTATTCGCTGAGTTCCAGCTCCTCAGTATGGGGTGATGGTACCCTCCGTGTAGTACTGTGTGGTCCGCCATCGTCCTGTTTGTCGACACACGAGTGACTGTCAAGACGGTGTTCACAGAGGCAGTTATCGGAGTCGGATCAGCCAATCAGCGGGCGAGGTGTCAGTGGGCGGGGCTCACTCCACACACGAGTCGACACCTTCACAAATATATTGTAAACAAGCGAGCTATTTATGGATATCGAAAGTAGGCAAAAAGTTTGACATTTCTCTCTGCAAATAAAATCATATGAAAAGGGACCAGATTGCTATAAAAAATGTTGTTTCATTTTTCATAATAATAATTCCGTCAGAAAACGTAAACATATACATTATCATGACGTAACAATCGTTACATCTTGAGTGCATAATTTCAATGAATTCATATTGAAGTATTGCAGTTATAAACGTTATATACAATTAATGTATTGCTGCTAAGCAAATATTTACAAAGACTATTTTGTCGGAGAGGATGATTTCATGTTCATATCTTGAAATACTTCACACCCGGGGTCACAGCACTAGATATCCGTTTATTCAGTGCTGTCACTTCGGCAGAGACACTAGTATACCGTGATGCACCTCCGTGTGTGTGTGTGTGTGTGTGTGTGTGTGTGTGTGTGTGTGTGTGTGTGTGTGTGTGTTGTGTGTGTGTGCGTGTGTATATATGTTGTTAGTGGATAAACGAGGTCGAGTTGAGTAAATGAGAGCTGAATTTGAGTGCAGAGGAGATCCGCCACTTTTCTCAACATTTAAGAGTGTGTATGACATGGGCTCTTATGCTCTACCTATAAACTTATCTGAAGGACTTTGCATTGTTCTGACTATCGATTCGTAACTACACGTGCCCTGCTGTAAACGATATGTTTCGCAATCCCCCTCGTACCTGTCACTATAACCATGACATACAGACCGGGTGTGAGGGAAGGTATGTGAGTCACGCCACCCTTGGACCATATACCTGTGTCTTGGCCAGTTATATCACTCCACCACCTATATATTGGCCAGTCATATCATTCCACATACCCGTGTCTTGCACCCGTCGCACCACGCCCAGTTTTTAACCCCTCACATAAAACACTACACCCCATGCTTACTCCGGCCTGAGACGACTTCACGGATGGGTGATTCAGTCTCTGTGTCCATGTATACCAGTGGCCTAGATTGACAGTTAACGATTAATAAATCCACATGTGGGGATCCGGGTTAGAATTATTGTTCATCAGCAGCCCGTGTTTTCGTAAGATGCCATTAACGGGATCCGGTTGTCAGGCTCGCCGACATAGTTAATGCATGTCTTCCGTTCTCATTTGTACAGATCGATGCCAGTGAATAACCAAGCCATTGATTTACGCAGTCATATAACGGCCGCCGTGATATGGCTGGAAATTTGTAGAGAGCAACAACAAACAACAAACAATAACAATAACAACAATAATAACAACAACAACAGTGACAAATCTATCTTACCTTGCTTCTGGCCTGTATACGTAAAGGCCGAGATTCAAACCTAGATACACAAATAGGGTGTGGCCACGTTGTCCTGTCAAAGCTTACTTTCGATGCAAAGCAAAGCAACATTCAAGTACATTCCATGAAGTATCACAAAACTGACTAACCGGTTCAGGATGATATTAAGCCATGGTATAAAGAAGTATATATATAATAATATAATGTTATGAAGACTCACGGCAAAATGTATGGATGCGGACAGTCTACAAAACACACATTTTGAAAATGTCTCTTTATAACGCCCCACTGTATCAGTCTGATGGCCAGAGGAGATGCATTCCATGGCACCAAGTCTGCTAGTGGAGCCAAAGTTTCATTCAGGGTTTTATGTTCCACTTTTTCCCCAGGCAGGCAGTGAAAATTACCCCCTCCCCACTCTCAGAGGGGGTGATATTTTGTTTCGTAAATTACCTATCATTATAAATATTTTTTCAGAAAATATATATACATTCTTGAATAAGTAAAATTTGAAATGTCACATGTGCTTATCGATAAGTCTGTCTTTGTTTTCAAAATATGTAGAGAAAGGGTTGTTGGACATTTACTATGAGGCACATGTTTATTCTAGTAGTAAATTCCAAGCTTAACCTTTGACATCGCCAGGCATTGCGTTACAGTCCTGTCACTGATCATGGGCAGATAAATTCTACACTGCTGAGGAGTAGCCAGTCGGAGACTGAAAATTACACTCCGGCCTTTTAACTTAGATCTTCCCTAATGACTCCAGAAACATTATATTTCCCATGTCCTACGTTTTGCATACTGTTCTGACGTCTCAAAACCGTGTTAAACATCTGTAGTATCAATAGAGACAGGGCTGACCTGTGCATGGATGCCAGTATCTCCAACCGTCATGCCGACATCTACAGGTACAGACTACCTTTATGAAGCCAGTGGGAAGGTCGGTATGACTTGGAATAATATGAAACACGTTTACATCCATAAATGTATTTTGTCTGAGAATTCGTGTCAGCAGGCTAAACTTCGTCAGTCGAGACCCTGTTATTCCGGACATGCCTGGGGCATCTGTGACGAACAAGGCTGTACAATACAAGATCAATGTGTTGAGCACACGTGAAGATCCGGGTTAGAATTGATAAGAGGCGACCATCGGGAACAGGTGGTCTGACTCGCTGACTTGGTTGACACATGTCATCATATCTCAATTACGTAAATCGATGCTCATGCTGTTGATCACTGGATTGTCTAGTCCAGACCGCCGCAATAGATGGAATATTGCCGAGTGCGGCGTTAAACAACACACAAACGGCATGCAGGGATGCAGTTCACTCCTCACATATTGTCTACTCGGAGAGTGCGAAATGTCATACCAATATGTCATACCAAAATGTCATACCAAATATGTCATACTTATATGTCATACCAAAATGTCATACCAATATGTCATACCAGTATTTCATACCAAATGTCATACCAATATTTCATACCAAAATGTCATACCAAATGTCATACCAATATTTCATACCAAAATGTCATACCAATATGTCATACCAATATTTCATACCAAATGTCATACCAGTATTTCATACCAAAATGTCATACCAATATGTCATACCAATATGTCATACCAGGAAGTTACAAGGCGGTACTTGTTGTTAGACTACATGGTCAACAAGGGGATACACCAAGGACTGCTCGGCAGTATACTGTTGAGTGGTGTAATACAGGTTAGACGTACCCGTGTAGATCCATACTTGTCCGGATCAGTGAGTAAATAACTTTAGTTTTACGCAGCAGGGAAACACAAATAGTGCATCATAATAGTGAATGAGCGAGTTTAGTTTCACGCTGCTTTTAGCAAAATTCCAGCAATATCACGACGGGGGACACCGGAAAGGAGCTTCACATATTGCACAAATGTGGGGAATCGAACCAAGGTTGTTGAGAAGTAATTTTTGGTTTTTGCGGTTGGATGTGTAGAAAAGAGTATGGGAGTTATCCCCCTTGGCCGGTAGGGAATAGTGAAGGCACGAGGCATGTGTTTTGATGCCTGTCTTTGAACCGTATATTCTGATACCCAAGAGATGAATGAAGCCTATCGAACCACATACAAGTTTTCTTGCCTTTATTCCTTATTTTCACGGGTTTTCGGCTTGATGAGCGAATGCTTTAGCCACTAGGCTACCCCACCGCCCCCTATCCGGATCAAGCTCGCTTTACCACAGTATCCCGTTAGTCGCCTCTGTCGATATCAGTATGACGATCCACGGGGCTTATAATCATGTATGTTGATCACTGTTATCAATACCACCAACAAATGTTACCCTGACCAGAATTCTTAAAAATTACAAGAAAGCTACAGACATAGACTTGTTAATAGAGACATAACATATATTTTCATATCGCTGTTTCATAAAAAAAACATACATCTTCTATCTTTCCAGAATAAAAACAACGTTAGTGGGGCAACTATAAATTTGTTCAAGCCCTTATGGCCAGAGCCATGTGCTGAATATATGTTCGGTAAAATCCGAGTCAAAGCCCTCCAATCTCCAGTATCATCCGAACACATTTATTTCTGTTTAAATAAGCTCTAGCTATTACTCACTTGACTAACGCCGTCTGAGAAATATTTAGGTTTGCTTGAAGTAAGCTAAGTACTACATTCTACATCTATACTCATAAGCATTAACGATGCATCGAACTATCGATGGATTGCAATTGTTGGGTCTCCGATAGCAATTAATCGATGGTAGAAACGAAAAACTATCGATGAATGGATAGTATGTGTGACTATCGATAGTTTAGTAATTGACTTCCGTTGATAAATGCGCAGCGCAAAATACAGGATGTTTGGGTGCAGACTTGCAGCTTCATTGAGTTTATGTTTTAACTGTTTTCTTGATCTGGTTTTCAAGTTTCTTGTCAGTTATTAAAAGAGACTGAAACTACTTCAACTTGTTTTTATTTCATATAAACTATACATTAATTTGGGAAATGACTTCAAATGAGACAATTCAAGGAGAGAAAAAAACTATTGTAACAGTATTGCAATAGTTGGTCGCAATAGACTATTGCTATAGCAATAGGATGTTGCAATAGACTATCACTATCGCAATAGTTGTTTCCCCCTCAATAGTCACCCCTAGTGGCGGTCCGACTCTCCTGTGCCCCTGTGTCTGGGTACACTGAGCTGTGTCAGAAGAGTGAGTGAGTCAGTTTGTTTTTACGCCGATTTTAGCAATATTCCAGCAATATCACGGCGGGGGACACCAGAAATAGGCTTCACTCATTGTAGCCATGTGGGGAATCGAACCCGGATTTTCGGAATGACGAACGAACGCTTTAACCACTAGGCTACCCCACCGCCCCTGTGTCAGCAGAGAATAACACTTGTGCCAGCATGAATGTTGTGTTATAATATTTGTACATAATCCTCAGAGTGTGGAGAGGAGATGTGTGATCATGCAGTTTGATGTTACTATTTGCAGCGGAAGTGTAAGTTCGACGCTCCACCAGAACCATCAGAAGGAGGCTGCGGGCGTCTGGTCTGAGAGAACGTCGTTGGATGAGACATGATTTCCTCACAGATAGACGCTGCCAGGAATGTCTGGTGCTGCGCTCGCCCCGAGAAGACCGCAACGTGAAGACCTGATGTAGGAAACATTCATTGGTCAGATAAGGTTCGCTATAGGCATAT